TAAGTACAATGTGGTATGTGCAAATGATGGAACAGTATGCAGCCATAAAAATGAAGTAGTGATATATAGTATGGCACGCATGAATCCTGAGAACATTTTACTAAGAAAAGCAGCCAGATGCAAAAGGTAACATACTGTATGGTTCAATCTGTATGAAATGTCCACAATGGGATCATCCATGAAGACAGGAAGTAGACTTTTAGTGGCTAGCTGCAGTGGGAGAATGGAATAATGGGGAGGAACTGCTGTTGGGAGGGACTGATGCTTTCTGGAGTGAGGACATGTTCTGCAATTAGCAGTAATGGTTGAACAGCTCTGTGAATGTCCTAAAAACCATGGAATCATAACACTATGTAAGGACTAGCATTCTCAGAGGCTGAGCAGGAGGTTCACAAGTTTGAGCCTCCCTTGGTCAACTTAGTGAGACTCTGTCTCAAAATAAAAAATAAAAAGGGAATGTAGCTCTCAGTATGAGGTCCTGAGTTCAACCTCCAGTGTGGGGTGAGGGTAGGGAATGAACTGTGTGATATATGAATTCACTCATCCTTTTTTTGTTTGTTTTTTTGAGACAAGGTCTCACTATCTAGTCCAGGCTGGCCTTGAACTTTGGGAGATCCTCCTGCCTCAGCCTCCTGAGTGCTGGAATTACAGGTGTGTGCCACTACACCCAGTGATTTTTATTTTTTGTAGTGCTACCCAGGGGAACCCCAGTGCTGAGCTGCAACCCATGCCGCACCCTTTCACTATACTGAGACAGGGTCTTGCCAGGTTTCACAGGCTAGCCTGGAACCTGAGATCCTCCTGCTTCTGTGCCTGGCTATGAATATGTTTAAAAGTCCAGCAATTGCGTCACCTTGCCTGCTATGGCCCCCCTCCAAGCTTGGTCCTACAAGCCAGCGCCAACACCAGCCTCATGTCCCCACCTTCCCTGTGCTTTCTCCTCCAGGTTTTGGGGTGTTTTTTTGTTTGTTGTTTTCTTTTTGGTACTGGGGATAAAACTCAGGACCTTGCGCTTTCCAGGCAGGTGCCAGAACCACTGAGCTAAATCCCTGGCCCATGTACTTTCTCCTCCTGTTGGGCTCTAGACCCCCTCCAATTCTGCCCTCCTCCCCATCCTTGCTGGTGTTCAGACTCGGTGAGTTCCCAGCAGGATTCACAGAAGCACCCTGTGCTCCCAGCTTCCCAGGTGCTGGGACCTGGTCTTGGGGTCCATGCCAGGCAGATAGGCGGTGCTGTGACCTTTATGGAGACTGTTCTCTATCCTGCTGGAGCCGCTCTGCCTGCAGGCGGTGAGTGTTCTCAGCCCCACCTGGGAGGTCATTGGTCTACAACAGCCTGTCTTCGGCAAGCACCCTGAGGACACCCAGAACAAAGGACTTGAGCCTCATCTGGTTGCTTTCTTTACTCGCTCTAAACAACATGCCAGCTGGCAGTGGTGGCGCTCACACCCCTGTAATCCCAGCACTAGGGAGGCTGAGGCAGGACGATTGCCTCAAGTTTGCTGTCAGCTTGGGCTATAGTGAGACCCTGTCTCTAAATCTAACAAATAAATGCTTCAGTATTTGGTACCTATCCATCTATTCACCCCCCCACCCACCCACCCAGGGTCTCACTCTGTCCAAGGCTGGTCTAGATCGCTAACAGTACCTCATACATCAATGCTATGTAAACTGCTGCTCCAGTGTATTGTCCTGCTAATCTGAAAACTGAAAATTCAGATATGGAAGCAAAGCTGGAAAAGCAAGCTTCTTGGGTTCTACCCTGGAGGGCTGGGACTCCTGAAGCTGGAGATGCTGCAGATACAGCTGGGCTATACAAAGGGCACCAACAGCCAGAAACACAACAGGCACCCTTCAAGTCCTGTAATCCAGTTCTGTCCAGTGAAGCCAGGTAGGAAGAGGTCCTGATACAAAGAGAAAAGCTGGGTGTGGAGTACACACTTGTGATCCAAGCACTCTGGGAGGCTGAGGCAGGATAGCAAGTTTGAGCCCAACCTGGGCAATTCAATGACTTGGCCAGACCTGTACCATAAAATAAAATAAAAATAAAAAAGGGCCAGGAATTTAGCTCAGTGGTGCTGTGCCTGCCTTGCAAGTACAAGGTCCTTAGTTCAATCCCTGGTACCAAACCAAACCAAACAAAAATAAATAAATAACAAGAAAAAGTATGCAAAGCCATGATCCCTTATACCTCATCTTTCTGCCTTGAATGTTGCCTCAGAAGAAGATGGTTAAGCTTTGTGCTACAGCAGCAGTTCTGTGGCCCCGAGGGAAGTATAGCAAAGAGAAGACACTGAAGCCAGTGCCCAGTGCTGCAAATCTGTTGAACATATCACAGCACCATGCACTCTAAGCTCCTTGTCATGAGAGACAATAAACTGCTCTTCATGGGGCGGGGGGCTGGGGAGAGGGATTTGTTTGGCACAGTTGAAACAGAGCCCAATTCTGGCGTGGTGGTGCACGCCTGTGATCCTAGCATGCAGGAGGCTGAGGCAGGAAGACTGCTGTGAGTTTGAGGCCAGCCTAGGCTACATAGTGAGTTTAAGGCCAGTCTGAACTATGTAGTGAGACCCTGTCTCAAAAAAAAAAAAAAAAAAACCAAACAAAGCATCAGAGGCCAACTAAAACATGGTTTTTCTTGAGATTCTGGACCTGTGGTTACCTGCACAAACCTGGGCCACAGGCCCTTGGCACAGGGTGGCTGAGCCCTGGACTGTGAGCTCCCTTAGTCCCTGCCTGATGGTCTTAGCTGGGGTGGCCAGGAGGCCCCTCTACTGCCCTCTGTGCCTGATTCCCACTGACCTCTGCCCTTCCTGCTCCCTCTCCACCCTCACCCAGGGCCCCAGCCGCCTGAGGACAGGGACCATGCCTCCTGTATGGGCCAGGCAGCCATTGATGCATCTTCACCACACAACAAGGACCAGCACTCCCAGGCTGAGGCCTGGCGACCTTCTGGAATGTTCTGTGCCTGAGCTCACTGAGCCTTCACGTGGGTAACAAATTCTGCTTCTCCATCCAGAGAACAGCTCCCCTTCCTCTGGCCATGCACCAGGGCGGCCTGGCACCCTCAGCCCCTCAGCGCCACAGCTCTGAAGCTAGGTCCCAGCCCTGTTCTGGCCTCAGTGCTCCTGACGCAAGTAGATGCAGATTCCAGAGGAGGGGGCTGAAGTTCTGTCCCCAGCACTGCAGCCCCCACGGGATGCTGGAGCTCTGAGGAGCATGACTTCCTTTGCATCCAGATCTGACATCAATGCTCCTGGGCTGGGGATACAGCCATCTTAGCACGTGGGAGGCCCTGGGTCCGAGTGCCCCTGGGCAGCCCCCAAGAGTCCTCTTGCTGCCCCCTGCCCAGCCCCTGCAGCTGCCATCTACTTTGTCTCTAAGAATCCCATGTCAGTAGATTCCGAAGACACTTGTCCTTTTGGAAATGGCTTGAGTTACCCCGTACTTTCATCTACATGGTAGCATGCAACAATTTGCTTCCAGGGTGGAGTAGCATTCTGTCACCCTGTTTCCGTCCATACCCTATTTTGTTTACCCACTCATCCACTGGTTTCCCCCTTTTGGGTATCATGAATAATGATGCAGCCTGACTTGATGGCGCACAACTATAATCCCAGCACTTGGGAGGCTGAGGCTGGAGGATTGCTGCAAGCTCAAGGCCAGCCTGGGCTACACAACAAGTTCTAGGCCAGCCTGAACTACTCAGCCAGACCTGTCTTAAAACAATAACGACAACAACCAAAAATAATAATGCTGTGGTGAATATCCGTGTTCAAGTATGTGTTCAGGTCCCTGATCCAGTTCTTTTGTGAGCCCTGCCTCTGCGTCCCCCAGAATCAGCAGGGAAGCAGAGCTCAGGCCTGGAGACCCTTCAGTCATTCTACCCTGTGGGGCAGGGGACAAAACCCAGGTGCTGTCCACAGGACAGGCCCAGGCTGGGAAGCCAGCGCAGAGCTGAGCAGGAGCTCGGGGAGCTTTCTCATCTCTCCTGATGGAGGGAAAGTCGGGGACCACGTGGCAAGAGGCAAAGACCATGGGGCATTCCCTCTGTCCCTGCAGAGAAGATGCATGTCACTACCCGCAGGAGGAGAGTGGGACAAAGATGCCTATATCCCAGAAAGGGCAGGCTTGCCACAGAGGCGGCCACAGGGGCTGGAAAGGGCACCCCAGGGCTCGGGGGCAGGGTTTACGCAAAGGGAGAGGATGCTGAGACAGAGCCATTCAGGCCTCAGTGAGGGGTCCCCAGTGAGCTGGAGAGGCGTCTGGAATGTGTGAATGAGACAAGATGGCCCCCAGCTCAGCCAACTCCTAAAGTCAAGCGGCACAACACAGAAATACCAAGCAGGGGCTCTGGTGTACCAGGGGACCACCTCAGCCCCAGCACTGTGGTCCATGCTGTCCAGGGAAGCTGGGCAGACTGGGGCCGGGCATGAGCAGGGTCCAGGCACCGAAAGTCCCTCTGCCACCTGCTGTAGGCGACTTTCAGCTGGTTACATGATATTTTTTGGTGCCAAAGCATCTAGGTCCAGGTACCAAATGGTGACAGCCCAGGGAGGGTGCAGCTACTCAGGGGCCTGCTGAATACTTCTTCGGAACTCCGAATGCAGGGAACTCCTAAATGCAGGATCCGGGGGCAGGTGCTCAGCCCTGACCCAGGGGCTCCAGGGACGCTCACTCAGCCAGGGGAGGACAGCCTGGGGGCCTCCCCTTCAGTGACTTCATCACCGTAAGTTGCCACTGCTGCACCTCCAGCCCTTCCTTGGATGACTGCCCAGCCGCTCTGGGTCCCCAGGGTATGCAGGGTCACTGTCACCTGGATCTGAGTGGGAGAGAGGTGCCAGAGGGCCATGGGCTCAGCTTGTCACCAACACTGGATCAGGACCAAGGACTGGTGGCTTGATGTCTCCACCGCAGGGAGATGCAGTCCCCTCACCTCAATAGCTTGCCTGGATACTGGGCTAAGAGCTTGGGGACTCTGTCCTGTACCCCAGTACTGACCAGACTGGCAGAAGAGCTCATCCATACTGAGATCCCACAGGAGACCAAAGGCCCTCGAAGAAGTGTCTGGAGGCCATGTTAGCAGCTGGAGGAAGAAAGCAAGCTCATCTTTGTGGATCAACGGTAGCAAACGTCTATTACTCCACACTAGAAAATCCCATTTAGCCTGGCCTGGTGGTGCATGCTTGTAATCCCAGCACTCAGGAAGCTGAGGCAGGAGGAGCACCAGAAGTTCAAGGCCAGCCTGGGCTACATAGCAACTTCAAGGCCAACCTGCACTATACAGTGAGATCGTGTCTCATTAAAAAATAAATAAATAAAAAAAATAATCTCATTTAGTCCACATGGTAGAAGGATACTGTCACTTTTGCCACTTTACAGATGAGAAAACCATGCTCTGAGAGGTAAAGCAACTTCTCTGGGTCTCACAGCTACAACTGTAAGTAGCAAAGCCAGGCATGAAGGCTGGGCATGTGACTTGAGATCTGTCACTTGCACCTATGTGGTCTTGGTCTTTGTGTCCTTTGCATCCCCGGGTCACAGCCATGCCCTCGCTGGGAAGGGATGAATATAGGGGAAAGGGCTGGGAAGCACCAACCACAGTCAGCTGGCCAAGGACAAGCGCTGGCCCACTGTGCTTACTGGATTGTGTCCAGGATGGTACCTACACTGTCACCTGGACACTGGGCTCAGGGGTTCCTGGCACGGCAGTGCTGCTCCTATGGATCTGGGTTGGGGACACACCCTGGCAAGCTTGCTAGCTTCTCTGTGTGAGGGTCATATGCCAAGGGTGGGGACCCCAGGGAGAGCATGTGGTTTAGACAGGCAAGGCGACAGCACCACCAGGAGTGCCGCCCTGTCTGGGGACACGGGCCTGGCTTGGCCTCAGCCATGGGCTCCCGCATGTGGTGGGTCATGTTGTGCCCTCCTCCCGCTGCCGAGGCACTAGGATCGCAGGCAGCCCCCCACAGGACTGGGCACTGCTGCTGCCACAAGGCCCAAGCTGAGGCCCTTTCTGGACACTGAGCTTGGGAGCCCACAGCTGCGCCCTCTTCTCTCCACATGCACTCTGTACCCCATAACTGGCTGGGCTCCATACCTCAACTGGGCAGCCCTAAAGGGTAGCCTAGGTCCATAGCGCACCCCAACTGCAAGGCTGCCTGAGGTTATCTTTGTACTGTTGTTTTGAGGCAGGTCTTGCTATGTACTTCATGTTGGCCTTAAACTTGTGGCGACCCTTCTGCCTCAGCCTCTCAAATGCTGGGATTACAGGTATGCACCACTACATTTGGTGCCCCTGCATCTCTATAAGCACCCAGGCAGCTTCTGGCTGGAGTCCTCACCACCTGCAGGAGGCTCTGAAGTCCTCACCACCTGCTGTGGCTCTGATCCAGCTTCAGGGCTGGAGGGGACACAGTGTGCACCGCAAGTTCTCTGCTCCCATTGCTCCTTGCCGAAGGTGTCCAGGCCCTGAGCAGGGCTGAGGAGGCCATTGGGGCAGGACAGTTTGCAGGACTCATTCCATAGCCCATGCAGGACAGAGCTGTGCCGAGGGCCCTTCCCAGCCTCAGGCTGGGGTCTCAGAACCTCGAGGACACTGAGCTACCAAAGGGGAGGGCACTCCATGCCGTGTCAGGGTCGTACTAGGCCCTCTGTGGGCGACAGCTTAGAGGGGCTCTTTGTGCATTTTGTCATCGGCTGCGCAAGGAGCAGCGAGAAGCTGCACTGGCCAGGGCAGAGAATAAAGGCCATACTGTTCCTATCCCCACCCGTACCCACTCCCCCTCCCCTGCCTGGGCCTGAGTGGGGCACCGGCTGGCCATACACAAGGCCCCAGGAGCTCCCACTCTCTTTCCTGAACAGAGAGGGTCACTGCGCAGTGCTGGCTGCCTGGCCAGGGATCCTAGAATGACCCACCCATGGGGCTCTGATTTACAACTGGGATCCGAACTCCAGCTGGCTCCACAGGCCAGCTGGGACTTATGATCAGCCCATCCCCAGGAAGGGCCAGTCTGGGTGGGGGAAGGCCAGGCTGAATCCTCATGCCCTGCATTCAGCTGGCAGAAGCTGGTGCCCGGGTCAGCTGTGGGCCACAGCAGGTCCCTGCACCTCCCAGATCCTGGGTGCAACCAGCCCCACAGCGCTGGCCAGAGGCAAGAGGCGGCTGAGGCCCAGAGCCTCCCACTCGTGGGCTGTGGCACTCACGCCACCTAGTGGCCACAGGGGTTCTCACCTTCAGCAGCCACTGCAGCACAGGCACAGGGCAGGGGGCAGTGGAGTGGAGGTAGAGGTTGCTCAGGAGACCGCTGCGCAGGAAGAACAGCTGCTGGGATGGCGGGGCGCTGTAGGACAGAGGGACATGGTGAGGGGGCCTCCAGGGCTGTCCCAGTGATGGCGGGAGACCCAATGAGGTCAGGATGCCGTGAAGCACCCCGACTACTGTGGGCAAAGGTGCTTTATGGAACCCTCAGTGAAAGGCAGTCAAAAGGAAAAACAACCTAAGTTGTCACCAAAACTGTTTTTCTCCAGTGCTGTCCACAAATGTACCTGATAATGTTTTATTTATAATTATTATTTTATGTTTTGGTTTGTTCTGAGATAGGTTCTCTCTATATAGTCAAGGCTGGCCTTGAACTCACTAGGTAGCCCAGGCTGGCCTTGAACTCCCAGAGATCCTGCTATCTCAGCTTCCCAAGTGCAGGGATTACAGGTGTGCACCATACTTGGCCTCACAGTGTTTTAAATGCACAACTAGCTGGCACATGTCACCCTTTCCAAAGAACCAAAGGGAAACAGGTTTCTTCCAGTGAGGACAAGACTGCCTGAGGTGAGGCAACAAGGGTGGAGTTGGTGCTCAGACTGGGGCTCCGGGCTACGGGGCGGGCAGGGTTACCTGTGGGCCACACCAGCATCTTGGGTCCAGTTACTCGGAGTGTTTCTGCCTGGCTTGTGTTTTTCCACACAAAGGGGAACCCAAGTGCACCAGAAAACAATAGACAGGGTCCTAAGCGGGAGCTCTGAGAAGGGAATCCCAAGTGCAGCTCCCATGAGCAGCCCCTGTCCCTGGTCAGGGAGAGGGGCACTCGGGCTGCATGCCCATGATGTGTTGTCCTGTCAGGTCCCCTCCTCTCAGAACTCATTGTTGGCATGGAGGGGACACCTGGCCCATTACCTTGGCCTACAGAATGCCAGGTCTTCATGAAAAGAGGAGGAGACTTATTCTGGCAGCTGTAAGGACTCCAGATCAGGGTACTCTGGAAGTCAGTTAAAGTGGTTGATGGGGCATGGTGGCTCATGCCTGTAATCCCAGCACTCAGGAGGCTGAGGGAGGAAATCTCCACAAGTTCGAGGACAGCTTGGGCTATATAGTGAGTTCAAGGCCAGCCTAAATTGTAGAGTGAGACCCTGTCTCAAAACAAAACAAAAAAAAAACAAAGAAAAGAAAGTGGTTAGCTGGACTGTATCATCTCCTGAAACTCCTGGTCCCCTGCCAAGACACAGGTTTGGCACAGGAGCTCCTGGCCCATGTGTGTCCTGCTCCTTCTCTCTAGATAATGTCCCACAGATGACGAATGCAGATTCCAGGAAATGACACAGTGATCTCATGTTTGTTCTTCTTTTTAGTGAACAGATCACTGCAGAGCCTGAGATAGCATCTGATGTCAAGACCCTGAAGAGCAACATCTCCAGCCACCCGCCCCTCCTCCTCCTCCTAAGAGGTCCCCAGGCTTCCATCCTCAGGGGCACAGCACCCCGAAGCCACACATCTCCCCCAGCCACAGCATAGTCTCCTCTCAGGGTCTGTCTGGGCAACTGACAAGCTGTACGGATTTTTTTTCCTAAGTCATTTAAGCTGGGAGAAAGAGGCTTTCTGTGGCTGTGAGACAGACCCTCCTGTGTGCACATGAACACACATCCACACCCCATGCCCCACATGCTGTATTCACCCAGACTTACAGGTGCATCGCACAAGCACACATGCTGCACCCCAAAAGCTGGCTTGACCCAGTGGACCATGTTGGGGCCTGTGTGATGCAGGGTGCCTCTGGAAGCAGCACCCCAGAGACTCTTGGGGATGCCCCACTGGGCTTGTGATGGGGGAGGGGATTGTGCAGCCCCCACGACTTGACTCGGAGCGACACAGGGCCAGATGCTGCACCCAGGGAAGCAATCTGTGGGCTGCAGAACCTTCCTCCTGCTATGCTGGCTTGAGATGCAGCTTCTGCCAGGAAAATGACAGATGGGCTTCAAGTTCACTGCTGAGTTAGGTCTCATGTGTGCGATGAACAGCAAGAAAAGCAAGGCTGTGGCCTGCTCCGCCCCAGAGGAAAGGCTTTCAAGGAACTCTGGGCCCGGCACTCTTATGAGGTGCAAGAAGCAGGGTGTGGTTACGGCAGGAGGGTCGCTAAGAGTTCCAGGCCAGCCTGGGATACATAGCGAGACCCTGTCTCACACAGAATCTTGGGTGACAGAATCAGCTAGTCAGGTTTAGCAAAAACCAGTGTCTCATCTCCATGCAAAGAATGCTGCACTGGGTTCCAGCGGGTGCCTCTGCCAACAACGAGGTCACAAGTTATCCCAAGAATGTTGGAGGGCCCTGCCAGAGAAGCGGACAGCAGATGCCACTTGGGCCTCAGCTCGAGGATCCTGGGGTGGCATGGGGGCAGGCTGTAAATGGCTCAGGGTGCAGGCACAGCAGAGTGCTGCTAATCCTTGGCCACATCGCCAATGAGAGGGCTGTGGGGCAGAAGAGGGCAGGGAGGGACTGCGGGGACGGGCAGAGGTGGCACAGCCTCCATCACCCTGGAATTTCCAGCCCGATCCTTACAGTGGCCAAGGGAACACCCGCTCCATGTTACTTCCCCAGATGCCCAGTGTGTCCCAAGTGGTGCAGAAGGATCAGTGGCAGTAAGGATGTTATTTACATGGTGCCAGCAACACCAAGTTTCCCGATGAAAGCTAAAATAAAATACCGTAACAGAACACAAGCCAATCAAAGATTTTGCTCGCCCCTATTCTTTTTGGGGTAGGGGTTGAGACAAGGCATCGCTATATAGTTCAGGCTGATCATGAACTCACTATACAGCCCAGGCTGGCCTTGAACTCACCAAGATCCTCTTCAGTCTCCTGAGTGCTGGGATTACAAACGTTTACTACCAGGCCTGGCTTCATGTGGCACTGACCTTGATATCTTCCTCCAGGAAAGGAGGTGCTCGTGGCAAAATAAGAGCTGGAAGCTGGCCATGGTGGAGCACATGTGTAATCCTAGCACTCAGGAGGCTGAAGCAGGAGGATCACCATTAGTTCTAGGTCAGCCTGGGCACAAAGTGGAGTTGAAGGCCAGCCTGAACTACATAGCAAGACTCTGTTTCATAAAAGAAAACAACACAAAAGATGAGGTTGTGGGGCCTCTGAGACACACAGGGCACAAGTGCCATTAAATCTGCTGTGGCGGGGCGGGGGAGCTCAGGAGGCTCAGGTTCACCTACCTCCAGCTTCCTGCTCTCCCCAGGTATCCATGGGAATGACAGGCTTCCTGAGGACACCAGGCACATCAATAGTGTCAGATGCTGCCATGGACTCTGGGGCCCCCCCTTCCCCCTGCCCCCAGACTGCACAGCCTGGGCCTGGCTGGACTGCTGGATCAGGTTTCCTCTGGAGCTCTTGTCAAGGGCAGAGTCAAGCTAGGGAACTGAGCCAAGCTCACACACCCAGCTCAGGTTCGACTCCACAGTGGGCCAGAAGGGGCGTCCTTGCACATGGTCCCATATAGGTCTGGTCTGGGAGGCTGCCTGGACTCAGACACTGGGTCCCCTCCACTTGCGCCTTGGCCTGAGGTGTGCTGACTTTCCCACTGTGTTCCCAAGGAAAAAAGGCATTTTTCCCTTCACAGAAGGGTACAGAGAAGCAAATCTATGTCAGGCGATTTTTAAAAGCAAGCATTTGTGCCAGGTGTGCTGGTGCACACCTCTAAACCCAGCACTTGGGAGGCTGAGGCAGGAGGATCACTATTAGTTCAAGGCCAGACTGGGCTACATGTTAAGACCCTGTAGGGCCAGGGATTTAGTTCAGTGGTTCTGCCACCTGCCTTGCAAGCAGAAGGTCCCGAGTTCAATCCCTGGTACAAAAAAAAAAAGACCCTGTCTCAAAAAATAAATAAATAAAAATTTAAAAATAGCATCTACTTCTCCCCTCTCTAATGATAAAAATGATACATGCTCACTGTACAAAGTCTGGAAAATACAGAGGAATATGACTAGGAACAAAAATTCCTCGTCAGCTCACAAGGTGCTCACAAGTCGTCCAGCAAGTGCTTAGACAACACCTCGTGTTCCCATGGTGGCTGTGTTTCTGGCCCAGAACAGTGGGGTCCTGCCTGGCCGGTTTGTATTCATATCCATCCATCTCTGTGTCAACAATTGAAGTCTTTGCAGAAAAAGGAAACAAAAGATGAACCTGGCAAGAGGGTGACCTCTGGAAGTGGCCCTGCCCACTACCCAGCAGGAGCTCCGGATGGTGCCTCACAGCCGTGGTGTCACATAGTGCGTCCCTCCAGCAGGCCTCTGCCGACGAGGTGCTGGCACTGCCAACCAATGCACATTAGCATATCCAAGGGTGGAGGGATGCTGGGCACCACCTGGCCCTGGTTGGCAGCGCTGCTCTGATGCCGGGTCACTGTGCCACAGGCCATCTCATCTGTCAAATGCTTCCTGCCAGACAGCCAGCTCAGGACAGAAAACCTGCTGCTGGCAGAAACCTGAGGCAAAGCAGCAGAGGAAGACACCTTGCTCTCTCTCTCTGGTCCTACCCAGCCATTCTTGATCTCTTTTTCCAGCTCCACGATCTTTCTTGGTTTTTCTTTTCTTTTCTTAGGGTTTTTTTTTTTTTTTTTGAGACAGGGTCTCACTCTGTAATTCAGGCTGGCCTTAAACTCACTATGTAGCCCTAGCTGCCCTTGAACTCGAAGATCCTCCTCCTGCCTCAGCCTCCCACATGCTGGGATTACCGGGGTGCACCAGCACACCCAGGGCACATCTTCACCTAAGGATTATACATGGCAAGGATAAAACAGTGTTTGCCCAATATACTGACTTTCTGGCATAGGCTCTGGCAATTTAAAACTATATAAACTGAAAAATTTAGGTCTAGTTTACAGATCTATTTTTGCATTCAGTTTTATTACCCTACATGTAACAATCTGAGACTTCACACTTAACTAGTTTTAATGCTTGCCATCAAATCTTTCACCCAATTGCCTCCTTACTCTTCAGTTATTTTTAATTTGTTCTCTGTTAGTTGCAGTAAATCAGTCACCACATTTTTCAGAGAAGGTTCTTGGTTGATACTTTCTCCACTCCTGAATATCTGAGAATATCTTCCAGTCGTCTTCTCACAGAAATAAAAACTCAGCAGGGTGTATGATTCTGGTTCAAAATTATTTTCCCTCCAAACTCTAAGACTGTAGTATATTGTTTCCTTGTGTCTTTGTTTGGTTTTTTTGAGACAGGGTCTTACTATGTGTTCAGGCTGACCTTGAACTCACTACGTAGCTCATGCTGGCCTCGAATTCATGCCGATCCTCTTACCTCAGTCTCTTGAGTGCTAGGGTAACAGACGTGTACCATCACACCTGGCTTGTTCCACTGTCTTTTGGAATTTAGAATTGCAAGAGAAAAATCTTAGGTCAGCCTGATTTTGCCCCTTTACAGATAACATGCTTTCTCTGGATACTTGCAAAACTTTTTTTTCCTCTTTAAAATTTAAAAAAGTACCCAGGATATGCCTAGGTATTACTTTCTTCCCATTACACTTAAAGGTACCCTGTGGACCTTCTTTTGCAAATCTACTTCTTTCTTCAATTCTGAAAAGTTTTCTTCCATTAGCTCCTTATGATTGTTTCAGCTTCATTTACTTTGTACTGCTTCAGATATTCCTACTATGCGTAGATTATATCTCCTGGATGGGACCTCTACATTTATTTCTCTTCTTTTCCTATCTTGATTTCTTTTCTTTTTCTCTGCATTTGGTGGCAATTTCTCTTGTTTTGCATTCATTTCAGCAATTTTCTTTTGTGTCCAATCCCTCTTGCCTATCTCCATGAACTCTCACGTTTGAGTAGTCTTCCACTGGCTCTCACACTCTCGGCTTTGCAGCTGAGCAGTGTCTTTGTGCCCAGTCACAGATATTCAACTTCTCCAGCTCTCCTATGGAGAACAGTACACGTGTTTCTCCATGACCTAACTCTGCTCCTTTCTTCTGAACTGCAGTACTATGACCACCTCAATGGCTCTTTCAAAGTGCCCAAGTTGAAGAAGATCCAAAATGGTCTGGCTGACCCCTTACACTTCCACCACTGTGGTGTCATCCAACACTATGGTAAGGCAAGGGGCCTCGGCTGTAGCAAGTGCTCTGCTGTGGGGACTTCCAGCCTCACTTGAGCTAATAAATCTTTCTTCTTTGTAAGGACCTAGCCCCAGGTATTTCTGTATAGTAGTGAGGAACAGATGGATACACATAGGAAAGCCCTGGGGAGCTGAAGAAGGGAGGAGACTCTCTTCCTAATGAGGAGGAGACTCTCTTCCCTCTGGTCCTAATGTGGCCATGAGACCATAGAGCTGCCCAACCCCTGTACCCCTCACTGGGTGGGCAAGGGCAGTCCTGTCCCCATCCCCTCAGCCTCTAACACAGCAGGCAGCAACAGCACCTTCCTCTCTCTGCCTCTCAGATGTATTAGATCACAACAGCAAGTGCTGCATAAAGCATGCAGAAAACTGTTTTCAAATCCTCTTAAAGGCAATCCAATCAGTGATTATGTGATAATTATCATGAATTTACTCTCACAAAAAGGAGGAACAGGCAGCTGTCCTATTGTTGCTGAGGAAAAGCTTTTTGGTGCCAGAGTCACACAGATGGAAGGGGCCCCTTGGGATCTGTGGGTAATGAGTCCTAAGACCCCCAGTGCATGCCTGAAAGGGTGGGTAGTACCGGGACCTATAATTAAATGCCTCTCCAATTTAACTACTTTCTTATTGAGACCTTTTATTAGACCTATTAGAGACAGGATCTCCCTATGTAGTTCATACTGGCCTTGAACTCACTATATAGCCCAAACTAGCCTCAAACCTGTGGTGATCCTCCTGTCTCAACCTCCCAAGGGCTGGGATTACAGGCAGGTGCCAGCATGCCTGGCTTCTGTACTAAAATTTTTGCAGATTGGGGTGTGACGACAAACTAGCATGAATTTTCTTCCTTCTTTACAACTTTGTGGATAGATGTGAAAGTCAAGAGTGTCTGCCTTATGAAAGATAGTGCTTCACGGCCTCTCCCTGGTGAGTCTGAATTCCTGGCATAAGGTCACGTGCATTCTGCAGCCACTTGGGTAAACAGGGGTTACTGGAACACAGGCCCTGTGACATGCGCCTGCTCTCCATGTGAGAACCGAGCCTGTTCCTGAGTGACTAGTAGCGTAGACTGCGTGGATTCGCAAGGCACAGGGCTGATTCCCACGGTGGCAGCACGGAGGAACAGGGTAGCCTGGGTTTTCACCATAAGACTCCAAATGGTACAGGATTTAAAACTCAGCAACTATTCCTTTCTGGAACTCTCTATCAGATAGTGCACACCACAGCTGGCCTCGGGTAACAGAAACCACAGGGCACAAGCAGAGTCCAGCCCCACCTCACTGCAGATGGAAGGGACCAGCACAGGCCCTGACAGTGGCTCTGGTGCCTGAGGATTCATGACCCCAGGCCGTGTGTGAGGAGTCTGACTCAGCTGTTCCCTGGAACCAGGGCACGGGAGGAAAAAAACAGTGGGGACACAAACCTGCTATATGCTGGGACCCAGGATTCTTCACAGTCTGCACAGGTGAATTAGTCAGCTTTATAACAGACAGGCAGGACTGTGTCACCTCCAGCCTGTGAGGTGACATATCCTAATCTGCCTACTGCTCTGATGTCCTCACTCGGGTGGCCCTTGTCCCTACTCCGCCAGACTCATTGTCCTTCCCACTTACCTGAGGAACAGCTCTTCCAGGGCACTTCGTGGCTTCAGCTGAGAGGTGTCCAGGAAGCAGGGCAGTGGATGCTGCCGGGGCAGGAACACAATCTCGCCGGGGTGCACCTGTGGGATGTCCTGTAGCGACACAGCGAACTTCTCCACCAGCAGCCTGGCACAGCAAGGCAGGGGATGGATCAGAGGCCACCCGGGTCCCAGCAAGGAGGGCCCTTGCACCCTGTCCTGCTGTGCCCCCTGAAGACCCGGGAGACAGTGCTACCTACTGATGGAGGGAGAGCCCACACCAGCCAATACACCCTGATCTCTCCTGGAATATCCGATCAGGGCCCTGGGCTGCCCTCACTGGCCCTGCTCAGGTCAAACATTCACAGCACATTTTCAGTGCTAGGCACTAATGGACAAGTCAAGACTGGGACACCAAGGAAAAGCATACACAAATCCCCACAGTATCCCTGAGTCAGAGGGCAAACTCAGGCACAGAGGAGCCCCAGTAGGGGCAGGGTAAGAGGGCCAGGGTACAGCAGGGACCGGACATGATGTCCCATGAGGGGAGGCATGGTCGTGGGTGGAGGCAGACAGTAGCAGAGGCTCAGTGCCAGTGCAGAAGCTGAGTGCTCCCTCCAGGCCAGCTGTCTCGGAGCCCCAGCACTCTGGGGGATTACCCAGGGAGCCTGCTGCAATGAAGATCTCAGATCAGAGCAGATCTGAGCTGGCATACAAACAGGGAAGGAATAGGGAGGAGAAGGCAACCTTCCCAAAGCTATCATGGTGCACTGAAATAGGGGCAGGGAAAGGAAGGTAGTTAAAATGAATCTGGAGATGGCTGTGGTGGCTCATGCCTGTAATCCTAGCACCCGGGAGGATGAGGCAGGAGGACTGCCTGAGTTCAAGGCCACCATGGACTACATGGCGAGACTCAGTCTCAAAACACACATAAAAAAAAACCCCAAAACAAAACAAAAAACCCTGAGAATGAGCTAAATCTGGCAGGGACACCTGGGCACTGTACTGAAACCTAGCAGGTGGCCGAACAGTGTATGTCCGTGTGTGTGTGTGTGCGCGCGCACGCGCGTGCGCGCGAGGGTGCACACGTATGAGCAAGTCGTTCCCCCTTGTCCAGAGGGACACATTCCAGCCCAACTGTGGATGCCCAGAATGGAGGACAGTCACACCCTACACCACATCTCTTCCATAACCAGGCACAGATCACAACCAGCTGCAACAGTAAACCAGCACGACTTCTTTTTCCTTCTTCACAGGTTCACAGATTTGTTCTTCCATACATCTTGGCAACCACATACACATTTCTTTCCTTCCTTACTGAGGTGAGAACATTCCCCTTCTCACTCATGGGAAGCACTTCACACTTCTCAGGCAGATCTGAATCGTGCACCCTTGCTGCTCTGCACACACCAGGCTTATCTGGACATAGCCCTCGACACTGACAATCAACCTGAGACTCCAGAGTGACTAACTCGCAGATGGCACACAGTGCTCATGTGCTGGGTTAGGGCCGACTCATGTCCGGTGGAGACAGAGCCAGCCGCTGTGCGAAAACAGCACACTGCGCTGCACTGTGGGGCTGCAGTTTAAAACCCAGGGACTGCTAAGCTTTGGGGTCTTCCATTTAATATCCTCTTTCTTTTCTTTTCTTTCTTTCTTTTCTTTCCTTCCTTCCTTCCTTCCTCCTTCCTTCCTTTCTTTTCTTTCTTTTTTGGTAGCAGGGATCAAACTCAGGTCCTTGTACTTGCACAGCAGGTGGTGAAACCATTTAATATTTTCTGATAGTGGTCAACTATGGGTAGCTAGAAAAATGGAGCATGGAGCGATGGATAAGAGGGGACGGCTCGACATGTGAACACACACGAACATCTTTCAATACACACAACACACACATGTGACAGAGCCAGCTAGGACTGAGGGTCATACCCAGGAGACAGAAGATGGGGGAGGGGAAGAACAGACATTCATGTAACTGGGCTCTGCTAGATGATCACCGACCTAATACACATTTAGCAAGCCCAGTGTGGGGGCACACGCCTGAAATCCCACTACTTAGGAGGATAAGGCAGAAGAATCATGAGTTTGAGGCCAGCCTGGGCTACATAGTGAGACCCTGTCTCACAAAAACAAAATAAAACAAGTGCATTCAGAGGCCCGGGGATTTAGCTCTGTGGTTCCGCCGCCTGTCTTGCAAGTCCCTGGTACCAAAAAAAGCCACAAAAAACCAAAACAAAAAAAACAAGTGCATGCAGTAACAACAGTAACAAAATAAAACAAACTGTGGACACTGCCTCTTCTTCTTGCTCTAGGCCCGGTAAGACAGCAAGTCCCAGGAGGAACAGCTTGGGGGCCCATCAGTACCCAGGACAGAAGCACTGGCCCTGGAGGTGGCCCACCAGTCATGAGAACCTGTCTTGCTTTCTGACCAAGGGAGCCAAGGGGAGGACCCAGCTGCATCACAGGGCTGTCCTGAGGACAAAAACCAGTATGGTGCCAGGCAGGCCTGGGGGTGCATGCCTATAATCCAGCACTCTGGGAGGCTGAGGCAGGGGGATCACAAGTTCAAGCCCAGCCTGGGCAATTCAGTGATTTAACAAGACTCTGTCTCAAAATAAAAAATAAAAAAGGGGCCAGGGATGTAGTTCAGTGTGAAGGCCCTGGGTTCAATCCCCAGCACTGAAAAACAAGCAAACAAACAAGGACGATCCACTCCTGCAGGCCTCTGGCAACAGCCTTAGAAACTGCCACCACAAATGGTAAAATAATTTTCCATTTTGTTCATGTCTCGGTCATTAAGAGTTTTGCAAGCATCTGTTAGAGCTTCTTAGGCTAGCTGTTTTTACAGTTAAAATGAATGTGGGAATTATTAAACATCCATAAGAACGAACTAACCTCATTTATGAAGGGGTCCTAGCCCTGTCCCCCAAAACGTCCCTCAAAGGGACTTTTGTGGTGTTCCCCATAATGCATGTGCACTATTGGGAACTGTGAGCTGACTCTTCCCTGTCTAACTGCAGACTTCCTGTGAGCCTGAGACGGGAATAAAGGACCACACTGTGATTTAAATATCTGCCTCTCCCTCCCCACACCCCCAGCCCCAGTGCACACACAAGGTCTTTTAACTTTGAGAAAAAGAGAATTTAGGATGTCATCCCTTCGAGATGCAAGCCAATTCTTAGGGCATGACAGGTGCTCTGCTCCGGATAATCAGAGTTCTGTCTAAGTCACCCAGTGGGGTGGTGACAATTTTAGGAGGGGCTCGTCTGGCAGACCTCACCTGCCACGGCAAGCTCCCCCAGACTCTGTCCCAGCCCCACCTCCTCCGGCTTTGTTCAGAGATGAATGTAAGGTTGAACAGTCCCTTCAAAACCATCCCACATCAAAACAGCCATCTCAAAGTGGCTGCTGTCAAAGAGGCTTTCTCAGAGCCAGCTGGGAAATGTCATGTGCCCAGAAGGGCGGTGCTGGGCTCAGGGCAGGAAGCTCTCTGCTCTCAAGGGGACCCCACAGTGCTGGACCCCTCTGCGGCAGTGATTTTGAAACCTCCCTGTCAGACCTTCAGAGTCCTGACTGGGCAGCAGGAATTCTCGCCACAGTGATTCACAAAGGCTTTGGAAGGTCGCCTACCCAGGCTCTCCACCCTGATACTGTAGAACCCGGAAGACAAAGTCTCAAGTCTCCAGTGGGAGACAAGGTTTGAAGGACGCCACCGGCCCCATTCACTGGAGACACTCAGCCTGCACACCTGCCACCCACACGACCTCGGACAGGGCTGGCGCTGCCCTCCTGGGGTCTCATAGGGGACTGCAGGGCACCCACACTGCACTCCGCACATGTGCAAGGCTCTTCCAGTCCGAATCTGTCCCAACCTTCATAGTCCAGACAGGCCCAAAAAGAAGCTGGCATCAATGCATGGCCACTCACTCTGCCCTCCTTGTACTTGCCACCATTTCAGAGAGCACATAGCTCAGCCTTGTCCTCCAGTGGCTTTGTGTGGATCACACCCCTGCCTGTGGCTGTGGCATCGTTTCTCCAGGATGTGGAGGCTGCCTGTGTCTGTCTCAGAGCAGTGCAAGACACCGACCCTCCATCTGGGCAGTGCAGGTGTATAGAGCGTAACATTTTGATGGCAAAGAGCCACAGCTTGGCCCTAGGGACACGCTCACCCTGCTGCTTCCTGAGCATACATCCATGAAAGGTCAGGAAGTGGATCATTCGAGGCAGATCTTGGTGACTTCCCTTTAACCCACGTCTCAGGCCACCAAGTTCCCTTATCCCACAAGCACCCCAAAACTGTCCTTGGGGAGCCAGATCTGAGAATGCCCCTTCCTTGGGCCTAGCTGCCTCATACATAACTGGCTGTTCCAGCTGCCGAACCAGGCCTGGGGCCATCACAGACAGGGACCAGTCAAGAGGTGGGGCCTCCTGAGCCAGGCCACACCCCATCCCACACCCCTTCTGTGACAGCACCCCACAGCTCAGCCAGGCGCAGGCCTTGACCGCTGGTTGGGAGCTTTCACCCCACACCCCCAGAGTCCGTCATGGTGACAGAGACCGATCAGCTCAAAGCCTAAAAGCTTATTATCTACACACAAACTGTTCCCTGATCTAGGTCAAGACAATTAGCAGAAAAATTTGAGGAAAGGGCGAGCAGCCAGCCAGGGTGTGGCTTGCAACCATTTCTGGGCAACTGAAATGCACCAAATCGTTTGGGGAACCCTAGAAATGGGGCCACAGGATCATTCAACAGGCACATTCAATCATATACTCAGGAGCCCGCATGGTGACGCACACCCTGTTCCCAGCACTTGGGAGGCTGAGGCAGAAGGATTGTGAGGATTTTGAGGCCAGCCTGGGCTATATGGTGAGTTTGAGGCCTGCCTGAACTACATAGCAGGACCTTGCCTCAAGTAATCCCCAAGCCAAATCACACACTCAAGTTCACAGAGAAAGCCACACCTGGACAGCTGCCCAGCTGGGTCCTGTGGCTGTAACCTCAGCCCCTCTTGGGCACAGGGCTCCCAAAGATCTCCCTCCACCTCATCACCCACCCCGACCCTTGAAGCATCCCGTCCCCTGTGAACATGCTGCTACTTCCTCCATGACCAGAGACAGATGGGAGGAAACCATCCAGCCACCCACCCAACCCCACTTCCCTCCACAGCCCAGGCCCAGCTTTCTTCTCCGCCCTCTTCTGCTCCCTGTGATCTGTTCCCTTGGGGGAATTCAGATCCCTGTGCAGCTGGCTCCCTCTGTACTCCGCACCCAGGTGCTCATCCTGTCTCAAAGCTTTAAACATCACCTGCATACAGCAACTTCTGCCTTGCCTCACAGCCCACCTGCCCTATCTAGGCCCTATTTTTCTCTTGAGACAGGGTCTCACTGTGTAGTCCAGGCTGACCTTGAACTCACTATGACCTTGAACTCACAGCAATTCTCCTGCCTCAGCCTGCTGAGTGCTGGGATTACAGCTCTGCACTACTGTGCACTATTTTTATACTTTTACCTTGCAACTGCCCCCCAGTTCAGGTCATGGAAACCAGAATTTCTTTCCTCTAAGGAACCCCCAAGAGCAAGAGAGACTCTAACCTTCCCATGATGCCTCTGGCTGGCCCTAAGGCATACTTGGTCTACAGCGGCTGACAATAGGTCCTAAAACCCTCCTCATGCCAGGGGGTCCAGCCCTACACCTAGAGGGGCCAGGAAACAGTGACTAGACGGCCACCCGACCTGGCTCTCACAATCCTGTCTGTACAGGGAGGTTCCAGGAAAACCCAGGAGGACAGGGCTCAGAGCACCCAGATGGCAGAGCACACAGCACAGGTGGCAAACAAACAGGGACGATCCACTCCTGCAGGCCTTTGGCAACAGTCTTGGAAACTGCCACCACAAACGGCAGAAGCCCCTTCCCTCACCCAGCCCATCTCTGCATTGAAATCCTTCCCTGTAACAAACCAGCAAACATAAGAAATGTTTCCCCGAGTTCTGTGAGCCACGCTAATAACTCGATCAAACCCAAGGAGAGGGCATGGGGACCTCGGTTTGGAGGTAGTTAGGAAAACCACCAGCTGGCAACTGGCAGGGGTGAAGGGTGAGGGAAGGGACCAAGGGACACATGGGTGGAGAGGGCATGGGCCGTGCATTTGTGTCCCTCAGAATTCCCATGTTGGGATCCTAAGCCCTAAAATGGAAGCTTCAGAGGTGAGCAGGTCACGAGGTCAGGGTTGTGTCACACACAGAGCTCTATCACCCGCCTTCTGCTATGTAAGGACACACAATATCGGCCTTCTGCAACCTGGGAGACAGCCTTGCCCAGAACCCTCATCCATGGTGCTGTCACAGCAATTCTCAAGAATCAAGGCAGACGGAAGACAGAAAACTGCACCCCAAAGATGGATTCATGCGAGGTGTGGTAGTGCTTGCTTGTAAATCCCAGCTCTCAGGAGGCTGAGGCAGGAGGATTACTGCAAGTTCAAGGCCTGCCTAGGAACATAGTGAGTTCAAGGCCAGCCCGGACTACATAGTGAGACCCTGTCTCAAAAAACAGATTCAACTGTGGCCCAACATTTCTTCAACCCTGTAGCCCAGATGAAACCAGACATCCCTCCCACCAACAGCTCACTTAAATCCAGGCCAGCAGAGCCCCATTCAGATGACAGTGCTCAGGCAGTCACCTTCTCTGCCCAGATGGGGAGGATGAACGCAGCATGTGGCCGTAATCTCCCCTGAGAAGGCTGTTTTCAGACTGTGGTTTTGTGTAGCTATTTTCCCAAGAGGTCTGGTTCTGTGAACTTGGGCAGATAAGCAGGCTATATTTTATGATCACTGCATCCTCAAAGGCCAGTCCAGACCCTGATGGCCGGCGGGCCACTGGCTGTTTCCTGAATCTGCAAATGAATGTGGCTGTAGGAGGAGGCAGCTTTCCTTTCCTCTCTTTTCTTTTTTTCTTTTCCCTCCTCTCTTCTCCTCTCCCCTACCCTACCTTCCCCCTCCCCATCCCCTTCCTTCTTTTCTTCCTTCCTTTCTTTGCTTTTTTGAGACAGGGTCTCACTACGCAGTTCAGGCTAACCTTGAACTCTGTAGCCCAGGCTGGCCTTCAATTTGTGGCAATGGCCCTGCCTCAGCCTCAGTTCTGGGGTTACAGGTGTGGGCCACCACGCCTGACTCATAAATGTACACAAACTGCTGGCTGGGCCCCCACCCCTCACCTATGCTCGGGTGTGAGCAGTGCATCTTCATCTTCGCTGTCTTCTGAGCATCGGAGATCTCGGGAGTCCTGTAGCAGCAGCCTCTCTAGATCCTGCTCCGGGGCTTGCTCCCTTTGGGGAAACAAGAGCCCTGTCACCAGGCTACTGAGACCCTATGGCCATAGCATGGCCAGGGAAGAAGTAGGCCCGCTCCCTGGGCCCTTTGCATGGTTTAGGGGACAGCGAGAGGTGCCTGGCATGGAGGATGCTGGCTCCCCAAGGAAGGCAGACATCAATAGACAGCTCCAAGCACATCTGTATCCCAGGGCCCGGCACACGTCTGCCACTGAGCTACATCCCAGCCCTTTTTATGTTTACTATTTCGAGACAATCTACTAAATTGCCTAGGCTAGCCTTGAACTTGTGATCCTCCTGCCTCAGATTCTGAAGGAGATGAGATTACACATACCCAACGGCATTCACTCCTATTTTAGCACACCCAGGCTTAGGCCTGGCCTTCTGCTCCCTGGGGCCCAGCTGCACGGCCAGGGGACGCTGTGCCCAGGTGTCCTGGAATCCAGGGAGGCTGTGCCCAAGTGTCCTAACATCTTAGGGAGGCCATACCCAAACATCCTGGCACTTTTGCCACAGCCCCACACTCCGGCCATGAACAGTCAGAGCCTCCTCCCCTGTTCTCTTTGCCCTCTGTGCCCTACAGACCCTAAGTGGGCATCAAGCCCCTGTCCTTCTCCTACAGGCTGGGACAAGCCCTGGGGCCTCCCCAGCCCTGTCCCCACCAGGTCCAGACCTGGCTGTGCCCCCTGGTCTGCAGGTCCCCAATATCCTGTCTGCAGCCCAGGCCCTGCCTTGCTCCAGTGGCCACTGACCTGATGCCTCCCAGCTCAGTGAACTCTTTGGATGTCACCTGTGCAGGTCTCCACACCTTTTCCCACAGGGTGCCAGTGCCCCTGACATCCAGGACTCACAGCCGTGGGGTGTCCTCAGGATGAGCCCCACTCCTCTCTCCCTTGTGCCTCCTGTTCTTCCTTCATACTGGAAACGCGTCTCTGCCTGCTCAGTGCTTCCCCACTCCCCACGTGCTCCTGAGGTCACTGCCTCAGTCCCCTGGTGCACTCCAGCCATCACTCTGGCTGTGTCCCACTCACCCCAGCCCTGAGCACTCCTGTCCCTGCCAGCCCAGTGGCATGGCCTGTCCTCTCTGCCTATCCACCGCAGCTGCCCCCATCCTCCAAAGCCCCTCTCATCCTGCAAGGATGAGAAAAGCCTGTGGGCTTTTCTGACCTTAGGCCAAGAGCTGCACCGCCATTCTGGCCCCATTGTAGCTGTACACAGAGGAAGGAAGTAATTCAGGTGAAACTAGTTCATAGGGGGACGAACAGATAGATTATCTTCCTCAGAAGAGACCCAGGGCTGTTGGAGAGCTCAGAGCTAGAGCACTTGCCTAGCACATAGGAGGTGCTGAGTTCAATCCACAGCACTGGGGAAAAAAAAGATACCAGTCAGCTTGCTGTTCCTCCTGTGAGACACAGGGAGGTGGTGGCCTCTCGAGGAGCAAATCAGCTAGGACTTATTCGTTAGGAGAGATGGTCTGGTGCTGTGGCCCACCAGGATGGTTCCTGACATTCCCCAGCACCTGCCAAATGCACGGACAGCGCCAGACCGCTGCCCCCCACCCCACCTTTCAGTCTAGCAGGAGAAAATACACTCAGGACGGAAGAAGTCAAATGACACAACTCTCCAGATTCGTGCCCAGCCTGAGCAACTCAACAAGATTCTGCCTCAAAAAAAGGTCTGAGTTTGACCCCCAGTACTGGGGAAAGAAAAAAAGAGAAAGGAAGGAAAGGGAATGAAACAAAAAAGAGAAGAAAAAGAAGAAAGGGAAAAGAAAAGATTTGAAGGAGAGGTGTGGGACAGGGAGGGAGGCAGATGAAGATGGGCAGAGGGCCAGGCATGGACAGGGACGGAACCCACAGTCTGTCCCCCGTGTGTCTTCTGCCCCTATGTGGACACCAGGCTGCACTGCGCACGCTCAGCCACACACAAACCACAGATGGTGCTGGGGACAGAGCGGAACTGGGTTAAGTGAGCTATGTGCATGGTCATCAAAGTTGACCCCAGCTTGGGTACAGCTGTCCCCGGCTACCTCACAGTATGCAGAGCCTGCTGTGGGAAGCAGGGGCCTGTGGTTCCACCCAAAAGGTCTCTGGTGTGTGCCAAGCTGCTCATGGGCAGTGGGCCTGGCAGAGGGCCAGGTGCTATCCCCAGGGCCCTGAGGGCTCAAGGTTCTGATCAGTCAACTGAATTTGTGCCTCTGGAAGATGCTGGGCTGAGTAACCTGACTTGTTCATCAGTCTGGCTCTCCCACCAGGACAACGCTGCAGTGCCAGGGCAGGAGACAGGCCAGCAGCAGTGGCTGGCACCTCATGTGCCCACAGGGAGGCTGTGTTCCTCCAGCCAAATGGTCCTGACTCTGCATGTAGCAGGCAGCATGGAGCCCAGTGGTGGAGGGCCGGGGTGACCGCTCTATCACCCTGGGAATCCGGAGCTCCCTGCCTCATGGAGATGCCGCCTCCTCTAGTTCAGTGGCAATCCACACACAGGTGGAGAAAGCTGTGCACTGGGACAGAAAGTCACTTAGCTCTAAAACTCTTGAAAATCTCAGAGAAATGAACACACAGTGGACTTTGCTCACCTCTTCTCCCGCAGTAAGGAATCTAAGGAGTTGATGTAGTTCTTGGAGCCCCTGGGGCCATACTGGAGACACAGGGAGTGGGGAAGAGAGAGGAATGCAAAGTTAGAGGAGCAGGAAAAGTAAAGGTTCAGCCTTAAATAAGCCCTTGTTGTTGGGCTGTGATCCCAGCACCTGGGAGGCTGAGGCAGGAGGATTGCCACAAGTTTGCAGCCAGCCTGGACTACATAGCAAGACACTGTCTCAAAAGAACCAAAATAAATGAATAAAACAAGCCCTTGATTTATTGTGTTTACTTTTCTGGAGAAATAATACATTCTCATGATTAAAAAATCAAAGAGGAAGAAGGTGTTTTCTCATTCACCTCCACCCCAGCCACCCAGCTCCTCCCAATAGGGGACTCTGGTGGGTGCTGCTTTGGTGTTTTATATTTTATTTACTTAATTATTACTACTGATATTTTTGAGACAGAGTCTCACTATGCTGGCCTTGAGTTCCCTTTGTAACACTAGGCTGGCCTTGAACTAACATCGATCCTTCTGTCTCAGCCTTCAGAGTACTGGGATCACAGATGTGCACCACCATGGCCTGCTCTGATTCATAGAATCCATTTCTGGGCCCTTGGAGATTGGAGTTTTTCATCTTCCCCCAAGAGCAGATTCCCGACGTGAGGTTCATCCCTGATGTGTCCATGTAGGGGACCCTGGTCACTGGGTCACCAGGGTCAGCCTGAGTCTCTGTGCCAGCCAAGCCCGGATTCAGTCACCATGATGCCAACCTCTGCTGTGAAGGTAGAGGGACTCCATGCAGAAGTGGCACTGAATTGGGTGCCACCCCAGAGCCACCTGTTAGGAGCAGGAAAGGAGAGAGGTTTGGCCCGAGGGCAGAGGCGCAGGGCCAGTAGGATGGTTGGGGTGGCTGCAGAGGGGTAGATGGGGTGGGACCAGGGTGGTGGGGCTCACCGAGACATAGGTGCCGGGCTCTGGGCTGGCCACCAGCTGGCTCGGGCTGGCCCTGCTGCAGCATGGCTCCTCCGGGGAGGACGGCCCCTCCTTCAGGTCCACATCTGTGGGCTGCAGCTCTGACCCCTCAGCCAGTGTCCTCTCTTGGGTCTGTGGAGGCCAGGGACTGAGGAACTCAATGGGCGGCGGGCTCCAGTCACTGGGGAACGGGTCCCCAGACGTCTCCATCTCAGGCTCCACAGGGTCTGGGCCCCGTACCTGGAAGCTGTGGCTCTGCCGAGACCCCTGTGGACAGAACACAGTGCTGTGGTGTTGCCATCTGCCTGCTGCAGTTCCAGGCACCAGGTGACACCAGGGAAAGGAGGACAACTTGGGATCTCCAGGTGTGGCTGCCCTGTGCAGGTGAGGAACACCCGACTTCTCCCCAGGGAAGGGTGGGCATAGTTCTGCACCCCAGCCAGCTGCCACCTGTGGGACACTGGGCTACATCCTTGCCCTTTTTTATTTTGTATTTTGAGACAGGGTCTCACTAAGTTGCCCAGGCTGGGCTCAAACTTGCAATTCTCCTGCCTCAGCCTCCCAGAGTGCTGGATAACAGGCCCAGCAGAAAAGTTGTGTTCCGAGATGTTCCGCTAGTCTTGCTGGCTTGGTGTCCCCCTGGAAGGCTGTTTGCTGACAAGGGGAGGGGTGGGCAGGGCCACCTGATCCCTGCTGTGTCCCAGGCACCAGCACAGACAGGGGATGCACAGGGCTCTGTGAATTTCCATGGCATCAAAGGGACCCAGGGACCAGCCCAGTTGGCCCCTGTCAGCGTAAGCAGCCGCTGTCCCAGCCAGGATGGACCAGGCCACACACAGGGCCATCTCTGTAAGTCAGGCCCAGGTTGGGATCAATGGCAACACAGAGTGCAGGTGGGTAGCCAACTTATAGAGCTGAGGCTGGAAGGGAACACTGACAAACAGCACTGACTCATGACACATGACTCAGGTAACAACTAAGTGATGAGCAAATAAAGATGCGCCCTGCAAGTGTAGGCATGGCTGTGAGGACACGAATTAGCTCTAGCACCTAAAATACTTTATTCCTAACCAGGTATGGTGGCACATTCCTATAATCCCAGCAGTTAGGGGGCTGAGGCAGGAAGATGCTTAAGCTCAGGAGTCTGGAGCCAGCCTAGGCAACACAGCCAGATGCTGTCTCAAAGAAAAAAAAAATAACAACAATAAAACTAACAACAACCAACAGGTGCAATGGTACACATCTGGAACCCCAGATACCTGGGAAGCTGAGGCAGGAGGGTCACAAGTTTCAAGCCAGTCTGGGCAACTAAGCAAGACCTTGTGTCAAAAGGCAAAACAAAACAAAAACAAAAACAAAAACACTCCATGAAATATAGACACATAAACTAATAATTAAACAGTTATATTAACAGATGGGCAATGTACAAAGATATAATTTGTGACAATAAAAATCTAAGGGGAGAGGCGGAGTTGTCAAGGAAGCTTTTGTACATTACTGAAACTAAACCAGTATCAGCTCATTTATTATACATGTAAGATGCAATTTATAATAACCACCGGGAAAATAAAAATATTTGGAAAAGGAAACAAGGAGCTATCAAGCAGTACATAAAAAGACAAACACAAAAGAAAGTGAAGAACAAAAGAGATGCGAGACAGAAAACAGAGCAAAGTAGGAGAAACCCCCTTATCAAGAAGTCATTCAAATGTAAATGGAACAAATTCTGCAATCAATATCGGGAGGGCTGGCAAACTGGATTAAAACAAACACGATCCAACTCTGATAGTTCCAAGAGACTCGCTTTGAATCCAAAGGTACAAACAGGTTCGGCACTCTGGAGGCTGAGGCAGGATTGCCACGAGTTCCAGGCCTGCCTGGGCTACACAGTGATTAAAGGCCAGCCTGAACTACATATTGAGACTGTCTCAGGAGGAAAAAAAAGCATCCTAGAAGCACGGAGTTAGTATGACATGTTCTAAGTGTCCTATGCCAAGTGCCAAGCCAAGGACACAGGGCCCTCCACAGTCATGGGGGAGGCACAGTAAACAGCCTAACCACTTCTCCACTGGCTTCTTGCTTGTTTGTTGTGGTGGCACCGGGGACTGAACCCAGGGCCTCATGTGTGCTGGGCAAGTACTCCACCCCTGAGTTGTCCCCAGCCCATGATCATCATTTCCTCCTCCTCCTTAACCCCCCAATGCCTAACAAGCCAGGACCTGTTCCTCCCAACCTCACACACACTTTCCACAAGAGACCTGCAACCACTGGAGTGCTTGTGTGCGCGTGTGTGCATCTGTGTGTGCACGCGTTTGTGCATGCAATGTTGGACACAGGACCCAGTGCCTCGTGCATGCAGCCAAGCACTCTGCCACGCAGCCATTTCCCAGGGCGGCCCTGGGACGGCCAGTGTCACCTTGCTTTGGCCATCACTGTTCTTCCACTTCCCCTGTTCCCAGAGAAATGAGCGGCTCTTGAAGTGTACCTTCGAGGTCACATCATCTCGGAATCCAAAATGCTTTCGCACCCTGGTGTCAGACAGAGGAGACTGACGGTGCCCTGTTTCTGTGAGCCGTCCTTCATGGACAGTTGGATCCCAGTACCTGGTTTTCTACCCGCAGAGGAAGGCCAGCAAGGGCAGCGGCTCTGGCTAGCGGCTCTGGGCGGTAGGACCTGACTCTCAATGTGCAGAAGAAACAACAGGAATTGGGGGGAAGGGGTATCCTCAAAACAAAGTAGAGGAGTCGCCATGTCAGAAATGCACACATCGTCACATGGGGGGCAGGACTGAGGACAAAGAGAAACAGCCGCTGCCCAGTGTCCCCGGGGACCACAACAGGCCACGTGGACGAACACTGACCACTGCTCCAACAGGCTGAAGGAAGCCTGGGCCTTGGCATACCAGGAGGGTGGCCTTGCCCGGCAGCTTGTGCCAGATTCGGAGGAAAACCCACGCACACTCGGGACCATGCAGTCCATGAAAAAGCCAGGCATGGTGGCGAACGCCTGTCGTCCCAGCCCGCGGGAGGCTGAGGCAAAAGGATCACTGTGATTTCAAGGGTAGCCTGGACCACAGAGTCTAAGGCCAAATTGAGCAACACAGCGAGATCCTGTCTCAAACCACACCTCACCACACCAGAGTTCATGAATCGGAACGGGAATCCACCCAGAGCCAGAGGTCCCTCCGTGTCGGTTTCTCACCTGTATCCGCATCCAGGGGCCGAGGGACAGTGGAGGCCCGCGCCTGGCACCCTTCAGCAGAGAGGGAAACGGACAGGAGGCGGACAGGACGCTCCAGCCTACACGACAGCAAGCAGCCCGGTGCTGGAACCCCAGCGCGAGAGGCCCTCCCACCGCCACTTCCTGCTGTTTCACCTCACGTGCGTGGCACGGCCACGTGCGCGGCCACGTGCGCCCCACGCTGCGTGCGATTGGCGCCCCCTGGAGGCCGCCGGAGCTCGGTGACCGTGGCCAGGCCCTCACCTGGGATGAAGGCTTAGGAGGACACAGACATAGGCGCCAAGGACACAGGGAAGATGTGAGCTGGGGCCGACCGCAGCCACTTCATGGTCTGACGGAAGGACCTTGCCAAGGTTGAGACCCAGCTGGGCGTGGTGGCCCATGCCTGTCATCCCAGTACCTGAGAGACTGAGGCAGGAGGATCTCCGTGAGTTTGATGCCAACCTGGGCTACATAGTGAGACCCTGTCTCAAAAACAAACAGACAAACAAAAAACCCCACAAAAGTGAGCGCAGAGAGAGAGGGAGACCGCCCCAATGAACACTCGGCACATTTTGAGTGGACAACAGAGCTGTCCCGAGTGACAAGATGCCAGTGTGCAAGTGCGTGCACCTGCTTTAGGGATTGAGTGTCCTCAGAGTCTCTCTCAACGCACACTGGGTGGGCACCAGCTTTGTATCTGGTATTGAGCTGGGCGACTCCCCATCTGGGATTAAACCCAGGCTCTTTTCACTGAGCTACATCTCTAGCCCTTTTTATTTTTTATTTTGAGACAGGGTCTGGCTAAGTCACTAAATTGCCCAGGCTAAGCTTGGAACTTGAGATCTTCCTCCCTCAGGCTATCAGAGTGCTGGGATCACAGGGCTATCCCACCATGCCCAACTAAAATTATTCTGATGCAGGGCTTGCCAAGTTGCCCAGGCTGACCTCTCTGAGTAGCTGGAATTGTAGGTGGGCACCACCATACTCAGGGAACTAGGTGATCCTCCTGCCTCAGCCTCCTGGGTGCTGGGATGATGAGCATGCACGTGTATATGTCATTCTACTTTAGCCTCGACCAGCCCTGTTCTCAGTGAGAACCCAGCCCCGCACTTCCGGAGAATGAAATTTGACGGGCATTGGGTACAGTCATTTAGTACACTTCTTTTTTTTTTTTTTTTTTTTTGGTACTGGGGATTGAACTCAGGACCTTGAGCTTGTGAGGCAGGCATCAGAACCACTGAGCTAAATCCCCGGCACTCATTTAGTACACTTCTGCCCGGTGCCACAAGCAGGAAGTCAGCAGAAAGAGCAGGGCTCAGCTGTGCCACAGTGTTCCCAGCAGTCTGGTCCTGTCTGTTCCCAAGGAACTCCCTTCTGGAGGCCCCCCTCGGACCAGCAGGAAGGCAGCACCCTGCTGCATCAGCAGAGGGTTCCCACTTGCTGATTGCCATTTCCAGCTTCTGGTAGGTTCTTCCAGGGGTTCCAGCTGCTTCATCCTCTGACTTCTAGTTGTCAAAAGGAATCTGAGGAGGTTGATAGCATCCCCTGGCCTCATTCTTGGGAGAACTCTTGCTGTTTTAAATGTTTAGGTGGGTCCATTAATACACAGAGACAGAGCCAACCCCAGGGGAAAAAGAATAATAAACCATGTGAGAATAACCTTTTCAGAGCCGGAAGTGGTGGTCCACACCTGTAATCCCAGCACTCGGGAGGCTGAGGCAGGAAGGTTGCCATGAGTTTGAGGCCAGCCTGGGCTGCATAGTGAGACCCTGTCTCAAACAAGAAGGAAGGTTGGGTGAGTCCATAGGTAAGCGGTTGCTAAGGAAGTAGAGATGGAGAGGAAATGGCCCAGTGGGGAGTGGGAGGAAGACCAAGAGCTGAGAGAGCAGTGCTGGCCCGAGGGAGACCTAGTCTTCGGTGCTTTGGTTGGGATGTGGCCTTTCCCTTACTGGCGCACACATGAGAAGCCTGGCCCCCAGGGCAGTGCTGTCAGGAGGTCACGGGCCCTTTCAGTACAAGGCCCGGCAGTAGGTGGCCAGGTGGTGGAGGGATTCAGCCTTGGCAAGTCTGAGGGGGTCTTACCGAGGGAGGTACTTCTCCCAGGAGCAAGCTGCAGAGAGGGAGAGAGACTATGGAAACTAGCGTAACTGCTATGGAAATCAGTACGTTTTTCTCCTCAAACAAACAAACAAACAAACAAACTAGAAATTCCATTTCACCCAGCTATTCCTCTTCTAGGATTCTTCCGAAAGAGCTAAAGGCATCATGTTACAGTGATCCATGCACACTTGTGTTTACAGCAGCACAACTCATAAGAATTAGACCTTGGAAGCAGCCTATATGTCCATTGAAAGATGCATGGATAAAGAGCATGTGGTATTTACACACAATAGAGCATTACTCTGCCATGAAGACAGACTTGAATCATTTGTAGGAAAATGCTTGCACCTTGAGACCGTAATGTTAAGTGAAATAAATCAGACACACAGCTTAAATATCACATGGTTTCTCTTATGTGAGAAATCCAAAGTATAAATAAAGTGCAAAATACAAGATAGATAATAGTAAGGGGATAGATCTTTTTCAAAAGGGAAGGGCACCAAAAGATGGAAGGAGGAGACATAAAAAGAATTAGGGTGTGTTAAGCACATGTACCCTTCCCACAAGGAATGTGATCATTGAGTACTGCAAAGATGAACTCATAAAAATAAAAATGAAGGGGCAGGGATTTAGCTCAGTGGTTTCGCTGCCCGCTGCGCAAGCGCAAGGACCGGAGTTCGATCCCTGGTACCAAAAAAATAAAAAAAAATTAAAAAAATAATAAAAATGAAAAAAAAAAAGAGCAAGGCTGGCCCCTGTCCATGCTCCTGCATCACCACATCCACTTTTCCTCATGAGTGTCCATCACTGGGATGCTGTGACAGGGAAAAAATAACTCCCAACTTGTTGGATGTCAGATGTGCCAAGTTCATGTCCCCTGAATACCAAAGAATAAATTCTAAAGGACAAAGGAGGTTAAAAGTAGGAAAGACTTCTAAATTTATTTTTATTTTGGTTTTTTGAGACAGGGTCTTACTATGTAGTCCAGGACAGCCTTGAACTCATGACGTAACCCAGGCTGGCCTCAAACTTGAAACAATCCTCTTGCCTCAGCCTCCTGAGTGCTGAGATTATAGGTATGAACTACCATGGCCTGCAGGAGTAGGAAAGATTTATTAAAAGAAACCTCTTGGGAGTCAGGAGGGGGCCTGAAGGGGTTGCTACAGAGGCTATTTCTCCAAGAATTTTTTTTTTTTATTCATTAGGTTTATTGGTACATTTTAAGTATACAATATGGTGACATTCATCATTGGAAATTTGTACCTTTACATAATATATCTTGGCTCTTGTTTTTTCCCCATTCCCCTGCCTTCCCTTTAACCCCTCTACCCCCCCCCCCCCCCATTTACAAAGACTCTGTTTCCATTTTTTTCCTTGTCTCATATTTTTCTTTTCCCTTCTTTCCTTTCCCCTACGCCTCCCACCCCTTCTCCTTTGGACCTTTTCTTCCTATTCAAGAATGTTTAAAAAAAAAAAAAAAAAAAGAATGTTTTATAGAGGGCTAGGGATTTAGCTCAGTGGCACCACATCTGGCTCACAAGCACAAGGTCCTGAGGTCCTAAGTTTGATCCTCTGTATGAGAAAAAAAAAAAAAAGAATGTTTTGTAGAGCAAAATCACAAGGTGGAAACAATGTGAGTCACACTTCATCAACTCATACGATTGCAGTACAGCTGCTTAGCTGATGTGGATCTAGTATGTACTCAAGGCACGCAGCGAGGGTACACAGCAAGGAGCATCGTGAACTTCAGCTTATCTGTAACTTCTAACATAGAAAGTGTTTTTGGAAAGGGATGAGTCCAGATATTCTGGTCACCCACTGGGCATCTGATGCCTGCCTGGACTTGACCAGGTGCTGATTACAGTAGAATCTCAAATTGCTGTTTGTCTCTTAGGGAGGCCTGCAGGCCTGGCCATTGTGTCTCCACCTTGGGGCCTGGCCTTCCTCAGATGTGCCTCCAGTCACAGTTCTAAGTGTTCTCATCTTCTGCATCCCCAAGGACCGATCCCAGCCTTCCTATCTGTTAATTTCGATCTAATTTAGCTGCCTATAATAATCCCATCCATCCAGAGGTCCTCACCAAAGCCAAACAGAACCTGCTCCACGGTCTCCAATGTCTGGACCTGTGAGCTAACAGGTTTTCACATGTAGTCCAGGCTGGCCTTGAACTATGTAGCCCAGGCTAGCCTTGAACTCATGGTGATCCTCCTGCCTCTGCCTCCCGAGTGCTGGGATTACAGGCATGTGCCACCACACTTGGTTTAAACCTTTTTACAAAACATGTGGATCTGTGATAGCGGGCCAAGACACTCAGTGTCCCTGAGGCCCCAGGACAGTGCTGATCTGGCAGGCACAGGGACGGTGGCAGGAGAGGCCTGCAGGGATGGGAGGGAAGAGCTGGAGAGGAGGAGGGGACAGACGCTGAAATTCAAGGTGGGCAGGGAAGGGGGTAAGAGAAGCTTCAGGAATCAGCCCAGGCGATAGCCACAGCTTGCCCTGATGTCCCCTGGGAGTGCCAACTCCCTGGGAAGGAAAACCCAAGAGGACAAATGGTTGAGTGCATTGGGTACAAGTGGGGGAGGAACTGAGTGTGCCAGTGACATTGGGGCTGAACCCTGTGACCAGGGGCTTGTCCTAGACAGAACAATGTCCCTGATGGTCACTTGTCCCTTCACGCCCACCCTCTGCCCTTTTCCTGAGCTCAGTGGCTGGGCAGGGACCTCCCACACCCTCTGGGTGCCAACTGGGCTCACTGGCAGGGGCCAGCACCCCACCCTTGCTCCTGGGCATGGCCCTCACCAAGGCCACCCCTGCCACACTCAGGGTGGTCAGGGTCCCCATCCACATCCCCAGAACAGGCCCTGGCTCACCTCTCCCTGTGGTTCAGAGGCCTGGCCAGCTGCCTCACTGCCCACAGACTCCTTCTATTTCTTAAAATGCAAGAGGCTTTGACTGAGACACCTTGGCAGAGCCCTGGGAGCCACCCAGTGCTGGCCTCACACTGACTGCACCAGCAGGTGACCCACTTCGGACCTGTGATGTCCTCAACTCTGTTTCCCAAGGGCCCCAGCTCCCTCATCTCTCTGCCCTGGGTGTCCAGAGGGGCCTGGGACCCATGCTGTCCTCGAAGGGCCCCTCCTACTGGAATGAGAGCCTGGCCCAACCTGGGCCACCTACTGAGCTGCTCCTTGGACCACAGAAATGCAGGTGAAGACCCTTTTCTGACCCCATTCCTTCAAGCTGTGTAGACTCTGCCCCAACCAGGATCACTGCCCCTGCAGAGGGACAAGCCAAATGACCAGCCCAGGACACTGCCCCCAGTGTCACTGGCATGCTCAGTTCCTGCTCCCTTCTCCACTGGTAACCCCACCCCCACCCTGCAACGGAGTCAAGGCGTTTGATTCACTCTTGGAAAGTGACCAGCCTGGGCCCATGGAAAGGACTCAATATAAGCTTCCTAATATTCAATAAGAATCAGTAAGATGCTGCATGTGGTGGTACATGCCTAATAATTCCAGCACTTGGAAGGCTGAGGCAGGAGGGTCACTGTGAGTTCAAGGGCAGCCTGGGCTATACAGTGAGTTCAAGGCCAGCCTAGAATACAAAGTGAGACCTTGTCTCAAAACAAAACAAAAATAAAAATGTTTAATATACCTACCTTTGACCAGTTTCCTCAGAAATAAAACCTATACATACACAGATGTGCATTGCAGCATTACTTGAGAGGCAAAAAACTAGAAATCTGAATATTTATCAAGGGGGAACGCTTGGTACACGATAGTACCTTCATAGTAGGGAATATCATGCAGCAATTATATGGTTAGATCTATGTTTTGATTTGGAGGGATGTTTAAAATTCCTGTTAAGTTAAAAAAAAAACCTATAAAGTTGTATTTTTATTCTGTACGCAAATCAATTTTTGTATTTCAGACAGGGTCTCACTATGCAGTTCAGGTTGGCCTTGAACTCATTGTAGCCCAGGCTGACCTCTCACAGTGATTCTCCTGCCTCAGCCTCCCTAGTACAGGGAATACAGGTGTGTGCCACATTTTCAGTCACACAGGGGAGAGCCGGTGACAGTGCTACTATTCCCTCAACGCAGGCAGGGCAGCTTCACTGCCTCTTATGAGAGGAATTTTCAGGCCCAAGATGTCAGTTGTCGAGAGGCTGAGAAATCCTGGCCTGGAGAAAGGAAAATAGAAAAGAATAAACCCCAGACCGCACTTTCCCTTCTGTGTGCGTCGTTTGCCTTATTCCACAGTGCATTTATTCTGACAACTAAAAATTATCCTATAAAGTGAAAACTAACACTCTGTAATAAGTGCATTGTTTTGGCGAAGACAGTGACAGGAGAGGCCGAATGTTGCGGAAGCCGAACCGGTCCCAAGTTTGATCCCAGGTACCAAAAAAAAAAACCCAACAAGAAAACCACTCAGATTCTGGCTGGGATCTTTTCTATTTTAAGTTTATGCTATTAAATCCCAAAGCTATGTGTATCATATCTCATCCCAAAGTTTCTCAGATGTGGAGTGAGGATCACCTATATTAGAGTTGCCTAGAGGATGGGCCCCCTCCCAGATTCAATGAACCAGAATCTTTTAAGCAGGGTCTGGAAGGCCGGCGGGAGCGCGGGGCGGGGAGTGGGTGGAGGGACGTGGCGTGGGCGGGTAGCCACGCCCCCGCGGGCGGCCCTGACCCTGGCGCTCACCCACACAATCTGAAGGGATCCCTGAGAGAGCTTTCCCAACGCAGACAAGAGACTGCAAAATGACCCATTATCAGGAAGAGCTCTAGCCTTGCTTCACCCTCCGGGATACACTGACTCACAGAGGCAGAGGGGAATCAGAACATGTCAGACTAGGTGTCCCACTGGTCTGCTGAGGGGCAGGTTATAGATGTTCATCCGGAGAGGTTTTCTGGTTCAGATAGGAAAACTCGGGCTTAAACTACAGGTAAATTAAACAGCATTCTTTGCCGCAGGCCTAGTCAAAGCCTTGAATATGCTAGTGTGCATCTCCAAGAAAGGTGGTAATCTAAGGCAGGACTCCCCTCTTGATCAAGTCCTTTTTCCAAAGATTGTGTCTTGAGCCCGGTATGGTGGTGACGGCTGTAATACTAGCACTTAGGCTCAGACAGGAGGATAGCTGCAAGTTCACGGCCAGCCTGGGGTACATAGTGAGTTCAAGATCACCCTGGATTACATACAGGGATCTTAGTGAGAAAATGGTTGTCAAAAGGAGAAAAAAAAGATTGAGCTAGCTGTTTTTCCAGACCGACAGTCTTTCCCCTACCAAACGCCAACCCACAGGTATGAATCAGCTGTAGATCCCCAGGGAATACTTTTTCCAACTTAATTTGGAGGGGCTGAATAGGGGTAAGGAAGGAAAAACAGTGAAAGCCATGCTCAGCAAAAGCCACCTGCAACAAGGAACAAGACCTCTCTGGTCTCAGAATAGAGAGCCTGTTTTCGCAGCAGAGCGGGTACTCTTGAAGATGAGATGTGCTCTTGGGAAGGACTTTCCCACCAGGCCCTTCTGAAAATGTCCTAACCTGCACATGGGACACGGGGAGCCTCGATCCTCTCCAGTGTGCCTCAAATTGACCTCACTGGACCAGGAGAAGCCCTACAAGTTGACCTGTATATTCTATCCAACTAGTAGACTTACTAAAAGTTGCTCGGTGCTCCTTTATCTATGTCAGGCCTCTGCAAGGCAACGAGGGTTTAACAATGACAGCATAATGAAAGGGATTCGATAGCCGCTAGGAAAACACAGACATTTCTTGGCTGAGTCCGTCTCAGGGATGAACTAACAATGAGAACAACGTGCCTGGAGCTAACAGAGTGTTCTCAATTGCCCGCCCTGCCAAGAAATTTCCATGTTGTACCTGTGGGCAGCTAGAAGCCATGGAAGTTTTCTGGCCAAATATAACCCCTCTTCCTGCTCCTCCTCCTAAACGGTCCTTAGTGACCGGCCTCTCGGAGTACAACCCCTCCAGACCCCGACATCACCAAGGGGTCTGGTCCTGGGAGGGGCCCCACGTGTTTCCCGCTCGGGCTGGGACGGCCAAGGTCCTGGACGACTGTAACAGGACACTGACGCTAGGACTGCGGCAGTTCAGGCTGGCTGGAACTCGCGACTATACTTCTGCCTCAGCCTGCCCAGTGCGAGGATTGTAGGCGTCTTGTTCAAACTCTGCTCTGGGAGGCTAAGGTCACAAGTTCGCGATGGCTCAGGCAATGCCAGAGAACCAGCTTCGCGGTAAACATGCCTGACAATGAGCACGGTGGTCTTCTGGACTCCCCTCCCAAGTCTGTCATTTGAGGTCCAGCAAGCGCCTTCTTAGAGGCGGACTGGACTTCCATTAGCAGCTTTTACGTTTACTGAACACGGCTGACAGGCCAGACAAACAGGAGCTCCAGTGAGCTGAGATACTGTGTCCCAGGAACATAAAAAGAGCACCCACATTCTCAAGACCCTGGTTAAGACCCCTTACGAGAACCAAGACCCTACACACCCACACAGGAAGAGGCAGAGATGAGTATGCGCAGCACCGCCCACCAAGCAAGTCACGTGGGTGTACGGGGCCCAGAGTGGAGAGGAAGCGAAAGGCTGACCGAGGGAGAGGGAGGAGCCTTCCCCGGAAGTCCCGCCTTTCTCCCGGAAGTAGTTTTGTTGCGGATGTGATGGCTTCAAGGTTACTTTGCGGAGTTGGAGCGCTGGGCGCGCAGGCCTTGAGGGCCCGCGGCCCCAGTGTGGCGGCTGCCGTCCGGTCCATGGCTTCTGGAGGTACTCGCCTGTCGGGCGCGCCAGGGTCCGGCGTTTTGTTGCCCCCCCCCCGGGGGTGGTTGGTGCGGAGGCAGCAAAGCGGGGCGGCCTTGCAACTTCATGGGGCCCCACGACCGCCCCAGGCCCCGGGCATCCTAGGCTCTGCGGCATCTCCTTATAATTTCAGGCTTCGCTACTGCCGCCCACCCGACTGACGCTGCCGCGAAAGTCTCCTCAGCAGCGGCTGTGCGGTGACCTTGGGGGTCCAGGAAGCTGCAGCGGGATGAGGGGCTCGGGCGGTCCTTAAATCCCTCACTCACTTCAAGTCATGTCGACCTGTTTTTAGAAAGATATCAAGACATTGGCCCTAGTGGTTGGAGAAGAGAAGCTTCCACGAGTGTTGTCAATTTGGGGGATTGTGACGCAGGTCCTTGGGGGCCATGAGATGGGTTGCCTTGAAGAGCTCGTGTGCCCATTGAAGCTTAAGCAGAAGTCTATGTGTGACCTTTTCCGACCTGATCATTTCAGTGTGTATTTTTTAAAATCTTGATGTGTCAATGGACATAATTCACGTATCTTTCTTTAGGTGGTGTCCCCACTGATGATGAGCAGGCAACTGGCCTGGAAAGGGAGGTCATGCGGGCTGCCAAGAAGGGACTGGTGAGGAGAAACCCCCTTCTGTGATCACAGGGGAGCCGTGGTCTTGGATGGGATCAGCAGAGTCTCCCTGGGAGCATTTGTTTGGCTGTAGGCCCAGCCTGTGCAGGGACTGGGGTAACTTGGCATCCTGGCTCAATGCTTGTTTTATTTCAGGACCCCTACAATATACTACCCCCAAAGGCGGCTTCAGGCACCAATGAAGACCCTAACTTAGTCCCATCCATCACCAACAAGCGAATAGTGGGCTGCATCTGTAAGTACTTTATTTCTGTTTTTTAATGCATTTGTTTAATAAAGCCTACTGTATGAGATGCTTATAAAATGCTACCAATCTTGTGTGTGTGTGTGAGAGAGACTGTATTTAAAGCGTATAGATGTATGAATAAATTGTCCAAGGGTTCTGGCTCTCTCAAGCCTCATGTTGCGTGACTGTGTCATCCTTACTGGAAAGAGGCACAGAAGAGCAACAAGCCTGGCTAATTGGAAGTGTACTATGAAAAGAGTATTCATTCAGGTAATAGAAACTGTATTATTTCTATGTCAGGCACTAATTTAAGCACTAAGGATAAATACCAATATGGACCCACCTTGGGATTCTATGTAGGCAAGGGAATTGTTAGAATTTACAGAACCCTGATGTGAGGTCAGTTTACTTCTAGGTAAACGCAGGGCCTCCATTTGATCTGAAAGAGAGAAGAGCTTGGCCTCTTAAGATGTCAGCCGTAGTTTGATTTCTCTCTCCAAAGTGTCACAGAAAAAGAGATTAACGTTGAAAGTCTCCTTTTCTCGCTGGATGCCATTCAGCCACTTTCTGTCCTTTTAGGCGAAGAGGACAACAGCACTGTCATTTGGTTCTGGCTGCACAAAGGCGAGACTCAGCGGTGCCCGAACTGTGGAACCCATTACAAGCTAGTACCCCACCAGCTGGCCCACTGAGTCCCCGAGTGGACTCACTCAGAATGTGCTGTGAAGTCTGTTTCCAATAAAGACCAGCCGGGCATCGGCTCCTCCCATCAGCGGGCAGTCTTGTGTTTCTTCCGTTTTTGGGGTAGGCAAGGGGACCTGTACTGGAAATAGCTGTCTGTTCCTACGAGCTTGTGATCCACTGAAAGTGTACAACCAGTGCACAGTGGTTACGTTAGTAACAAAAGTAGACTGGGGCTGCGGCTGTAGCTCAGAGGTGGAGTGTGTGTTTAGCATAGGCAAGGCCCTGGCATCCATCCCCAGCACTGTCTCCCTCAGAATAAAAAGACTGACAGCCCCCAATGCAATGATTGGGACCACCAGGGACAGGTGAAAGGATAGGCTCGGGGCCAGGCTAACCAGACTTAGGACACTGGTTCTGTCATTTGGCAGTGTCACTGTGGAGGTGTTCTCTGTCCGATTACATCTACTGAAAAAAAAAGTAACAAAAACGGTAAATACCTTGTGAGATATTAGCGGTAATATATGTGGAGAGCCTGGCAGATGGGAGATCCTCTCCTCACAGAATCATGGGGACAAGATAGCTTGTTTTTGTTGTGTTTTTTTGGTACCAGGGATCGAACTCAGGACCTTGCACTTGCGAGGGCAGGTGGCACCACTGAGCTAAATCCCTGGCCCTGTTTTTTTTTTTTTTTAGACAGGGTTTTGCTATTGTAGCCCAGGCTGGCCTCGAATTTATGGTGATCCTCCTACCTCAGCTTCCTGAGTGCTGAGATTACAGACATGCACCACCACACCTAACTCTGGCACAGAGTAGTTTTGTGAGAAGAGCTTTAGGGACTTTGAAATCTTGATGGACCAGCTTCAAACCAAGAGTTCCTGGGAACAACTGCAACAAGTCAGTATGGGACTTTGTCAGAAACTAGAGTCTAGGTTTCTGCAAATAAATTGCAAGGGGTAGAGAGGGAAACAAACAGAAAAACCAGGGAAAACCTATAGAGTAAAACCAAACACAACCTGTACACCTTGTTTGATTATTGATTTCAAAATAGTTGTAGGAGTTGAGTCTGATCCCTGTGTAACTTCAAGACTCCCTTGCAGTGTTCTCTGTGCCTATCTATGGCTCATTTTGAATAAAGTCTGCCTTTCCATCTTTAAAAAAAAAAAAGAAAAAAAAATTGAGCTGGATGTGGTGGCAGCTCGTAATCTCAGCTACCTGGGAGGCTGAGGCAGGAGGATTGAATTCGAGATGGAAGCCAGCCTTTGCAACACAGTAAGACCCCATGGCGGCGGGAGGGGGGGGGTATTGTAAAGGAAAAAATTTGGAGTATTTGTGATACTTTGTGGGTTGGTTGGTTGGTTGATTTTTTGAGACAGGGTCTCACTATGTAGTTTAGGCTGGCTTTGAACTCACTATGTAGCCCAGGGTGGTCTTGAACTCATGGCACTCCTCTTGCCTCAGCCTCCCAAGAGCTGGGATAATAAGCATGTGCCACCACATCTGGCTTGTTACTTTGGGCAAGTTCAATTCTCACATTTTTCCTTTTTCCTGTAAAATATCTTTATTAGCTAGGTGTGGTGGTGCACACCTGTAATCCCAGCACTCAGGAAGCTGAGACAGAAGGGATTGGCACAAATTCAAGGCCAGCCTGGACTACAGAGTGAGACCCTGTCTTAAAAAAGAAACGAAGATGATCTTGGGTTGCCTAGGTGTTCCAGATGAGCACAAGGAAGGTGGTGGAGATGCAATATCGCTGGCTTTGAAGAAGCTGGGAAAGGCCAAATGATTGTCCCTAGTGTCTGAAAGAATCAAAGCCCTACTAACACTTTGATTTCAGCCCTGTGAGGCCCAGGTTGGACTTCCAGACAACTATGTGAGTTAATGAAGTTAGGCTTTTAAGCCACTCAATTCGTGATAACTTTGTATAGTGGCAGTGAGAAACTAAGACAGACCAGTAGCTTCCACTGCTCCTCCCAGGTCAGTGGTCTTTAACGTGAACTGTACATTAGTCACCTGGGAACCTGTACCACTCCAGGGTCCCACCAGCCCAGACCCCTGCAGCAATCCTCAGGTGGGACCTGGGCGTTTGGCCCTCAGGGTTCCCAAGGCTCCCAGTGCTGCAAAGGCTGAGGATCCACTTTGGGCCGACCAGGTCCACCTGAACCCTTCATTTTTAGCCTTGATAATGAGATCTCTTGGGCAGAGGACGTGTGGCGTCCCCACCATGAGGACCAAGCCTTGGCCCCTGGGCTCTGAAACCGGTCACTTGGCACAAAGGGATACGGGTCTCACTGATGGTATTCACCTGTCTTCAAGTACTGAATAAAGAACTTTTTTTCCATAACTGCTTGAGAATAATTTGGTGACATGATGACCTATCACACTCTAGGTTTTTCCCCCTCTTGTTTTGTCAGGAGATGGTCTCACTGTGTAGCCCAGGTTGGCCTCAAACTCATGATCTTCCTGTCTCAGCCTCCTGAGTAGCTGGGATTATAGGCATGTACCACTGTACCCGTCTCTATAGTATGTATTTCTTACAGAGATATTTTCTTTTTGTTTGTAGTGCCCATGCTGAGCGAGTACTGCACTACATCCCCAGCCCTTTTTATTTTTTTGAGACAGGGTCTTGCTAATTGTTCCAGGCTGGGCTTCAACTTGTGATCTTTCTGCTTCAGACTCCTGAGTAGCTGAGATTACAAACATGCCTCACTATACCTGGCCAAGACATTTTCTTTAAAAAAATAATTACATTTATTGTAGGGAGTTAATACATTTACATTACGCATCTTAATTCCTTTTACTTCCCCTCCCTCAATATTTTCTTAATACTCATCAAAATCAGAAAAGTACTGGTTCTTTTTCTTTTTCTAGCACTGGGTATTAAACTGAGCTACACCTCCAGTCCTTTTTTTCTTTTTAAAATTTGAGACAATCTCACTATGTTGCTATGTTTCAACTCTGGCTGAGCTGGAATTTGTAAACCTCTTGCCTCAGACTCTGAGTGCTGCAATTACAGGTCTCTACAGCCTGCTCAGTTTATATATTTCAATTTCTAATTCTCAGTCATCAAGTTTTCCTAAATGTCCCAAAGTCTGTTACTGGACCTGGCTGAGAGTCACATGTTGCCTACACCTGTCCCATAGGACAGCTCCTGCTGGTCTGTGTCCTGACCTGGACGCTTGAGGATGACACCAACAGCTTGGGTTTGCCTGTTTCCTCACAACTGGCGTTAGGCTGTAACCAGGTGTTGGGCAAGAGTGCCACTGAGGACTTTCTTGGGAGGCCCCTGGTGCTGACTTGCCCCATGCTGTGACTATTTTTTGATGTTTAATTTGTTCCAATTTGGCTAGTTGAGCCCCTCTGAGCTGGCTCCGGTGACCTCTTGACATGTCCCTCTTTCTCAGAGCACTTATTTTTAGGCACAAAATGTCCCAGGCTCATCTTCCAGGCTGATAATAAACCCACAAGGTTGATGCCATTATTGTCACTCCCTTCTTATAGATGGGCAAACAGAAAACTCAGGTTTGTGTCGTTAGAAATTCGTGGGGACAGGATTGTGACCTCAGGCCACTTAGCTCCGAAGCCTGAGCATTTTTGTCCTTCAATTTTTAATTTTAAAATAATTTTAGACTTACAGAAAAGTTGCAAAAATAGTTCCTATTTACCTTCACCCAGTTTTTCCTGTTAGCATCAGGTGTCACAGGGAATTAACATCAGTACAGAGCTGTTAGCTGATTGGCAGCTCTTCCTGAGGCATCACTGGCTTCCGGAGATCTCACGTTGCACTCTGTGCTTCTCTGTCTTAGGTTTAGGGTTAGCCTCCATCTTTGAATGGAGAACTCAAATCTGTTAAATTTGCTTGGGTCCACCTGGTGCCAGCTGCCGGTTAGACAGGTTTTGCAAGAATACCAAGGGGAAAGGGCACGCCCTGGTGCATTCGCAGGAGACAATCACAGTGCTGTGCACTTTGATCATTTGGTCAAGGTGTTGTCTACTAGACTTCTCTGTCGTAAACTGACCAGTTTTCCTTCTGTAATTGTAAGTATCTTGTGGGGAGATACACAGCTAATGCAAATAGCCTTACTTTTGCCCACTAAATTTTGTTTCATTCCTTGCCTGCAACCACTACCCCAATTGCCTGAAAATAAGACCTAGCTGGAAAATAATCAGCCTTGAAAATCAGATATCAAAAGTACTGGCTCAATCAGCCATTCCTTGTCTGACCTCTGGCACTACTCTTATCTGGCGGTGGCTACTCTGTAAAGCAGGTGAGTTCACAAGACTTCCCAGCCATGCACTTGCTTGGTTTTCCTTTACCAGGCAGCAGATGCCTGCTCCACATGGCAAGCAGAAGAGGTGGCCTAAGCATTGGGTCTGAGCAAATGTGCTGTGCAGGAGGGGCAGCTGTGTGGAAAAGAGGCTAGGGAAGGCACTGCAGAGAGCAGAGCCAGAACCCACAGGAAGTGGGAGTTGGCGGGGAAGAGGGTGCAGTGCAGGCTCTGACACCATGTAGTGACCAGGCCTCTGTGCCGTGGATGTGCAGCCTCAGCCCCTTACCCCAACCTGATCTGTCCTAGGCCCCAGCACTGGCTGTCAACATCTGTCCACCCAGGACACAGCTGAGGACCACCTCCAGGCCCAACCCACTCTGGTTTCTGTCCCCTGCCCTTTACTGCTGACCCAAACTTTGCTGCAGCCCCTCCTCCCTAAGGGTTGCCTGGTGCCCCCTTTCCTGGTCACCTTGAGTCCTTGCCACTCAGCCTGCCCCCCCACCCCCCATTGGGTTGATACCCACTCTACTGGCCCCTATAGCTCTTCACTGAAATGGGCCCTGGGTCTTCTCCTGACCTGTTTGTTTCTGGTTGTTTTTTGAGACAGGCTCATTATGTAGTTCAGGCTGGCCTTGAAATCACTATGTAGCCTAGGCTGGCCTCAAACTTGTGGCAATCCTCCTGCCTCAGTCTCCTAAGTGTTGGAATGACAGAGTGCGCCATTATGCCTGGCTCTGACTTGTCCATTTGTTGGGGCAAGAACACATCTTATTTACCACTGACCCCAAACATGAGGACTCTGGCAGACATGCTGCAGGTGCTCACAGACCTAACCAGGGGTGAGAAGCTTCTCTCCAGACTCACTGGCAGCCCCTTTGCCCCCAGCAGAACTGGGCTTATCCTGCAGCCATTGCTCCCTCCCACTCTAAGCCAAGGAGCCTGCAACCCTGTTGGCATCAGGGTGCCTGGCACAGGAGCAACACAGCAGGACTTGATGAGCACAGTCCTGTTCACGAGGGGGAGGCGAGAGGGCTTCAAGGGTGGGGATGCTACTGCAGGCAAGCCCAGCCTCCTGAGTGCTTAGTGCCACGTTGCCCTGCCAACCACCAAAACCCACAGGCTCTGAGCTTGAGTCAGCGCCCTGCTGCGTCCCCTGTGGTTCTCTCTCTGAAAGTCCCCAGGGATGGGTGAACAAACAACAGTACACAGAGCCACAAAAGAGGCACAGACTGGGCCTTGTCCATCATTACTATAATGATTTATAAAAGAAAATTTTCTCAGGCAACTGTTAAGTTATTGGACGCATCTGGGCAGGGAGGTTGGGCCCAGCCACCCTGTCTTTGAGGGTGGGAGGAGGACCTCCTCAGCCCTCACCTGACTCCCGATTCCCTGGCTTCCTCCAACAATGCAGACCATAAGGCTTCCCAACGAGGGCACAGGGCAGGACAGGAGCAGCAATCACTGATGTGCTCAGAGGTTGGAGGGCAGAGGGCGACAGGCCTCGTGCCATGGCTGCCCCGGCTCTGGAGGCTGCCCCTGTGCCACACCGCTTGCTGGGGATGTGTGCACAGGTGTGGGTGGCTGTGGGACTGGGAAGAGGCAATGGCGTAAGACGTACTCTGCACCCCATTGCCCCTGCTCAAGCTGCTGGCCACTCCTCTCCAGCCTACTTCCCAGGCCCCCAGGTTCTCTGGCTTCAGGGTAGCGCCTGCCAGAGGACATGGAGGCTTTGGTCGTCTGGGCCTGGAGCTCAGGGAAGCAGCTCCAAAAATCAGACGAGGAAACCTTGGCCTAACCTAGGCCGTCCAGGGAGACGCCCAGAGCGGCCCAACGTAGGCTCCTCAATTCCTATGCTCCAGGTTGAGACCACATCCATGCAGCTAAACGTCAGAGTATGTGTATGTGCTTGTGTGTGTTTGTGTGTGTGTGTGTGTGTGTGCGTGTGCATGTGCAGGGTGGGGCTGTAGGCAGGCACTGCTGCACCACCTGCCTGGGGGTTCAGGGCATGCAGGGGGCCCTTGGCCTACAATGTGGACCCCAACCAGAAAGGGTCCAGGGCTCTGGCTCCCCCTCCTCCAATTCTCCCAACACGCTCCACCCTCCTGGGCATCAGAAGGTCTTTCGATGAATAGCACGGGGGCCGTCCTCTTCGTACTCCTTTTTGGATACCCACATCTTCTTAAAAGTGTCCAGTGAGGCCAAGATGGAACCACTGTGAGGACAGAGGGGCATGTTCTTCTGGGCCTGTGGGTGGCCCTCCTGGGCACTCAGCAACCCCATGCCCTTACTTGGGAGAGCCCACCCACCCACCTCCTCTCAGCCCGGATACCCGAGCAGTGTCCAGGGCAGAGTGGTTTCTTCCCAGAGCCCTCCCCTTGGACCCTGCCTCACCCAATCCAGGTGGAGTACAGCCGTTCCTGAGGGGCAGAGATCTGCAGGGACAAGCGGCTGTGTCACTGCCCTGACCCAATACAGCAGCTACCCTCTGCCTGGGGCCCAGGCCTGGCCTGGAGGGCAGGCATGCAGTCAGCAGGGCAGGCAGGGCTGGGCAGAAGTGGGGCATTTGGGGAGGAGAGAGGGAGGGCAGGGCTGGGCTTCCTCCTCTGCACGGCTGCCAGCACCTGGAGCCCCGGACCTCACCTGGAGCCTGTGACCTCACCTTGATCTTGACATCCTTTGGAGCAAGCTTCTTCACCTCACTCAGTAGTCGGTCCCCGAAGCCTGCAGACAAGAATGGTGGGGTCTGAGGTCCACATCCAACCTCCTCCACAGCTCTCCAGATCTAGCCTTGGGGGATCCCCAATTCTCTCCAGGATTAAGGGAAGGGTGACTCAAGGGGAGAAGCCACCCTGCACCTCAGTGAGGCATCTTCTGACCTCTGCTCCTCCTCACGGTCACTCATACCTTTTTTTTTTTTTTTTTTTTTTTTTGGTACTGGGGATCGAACTCGGGTCCTTGTGCTTCCACAGCAGATGGTGAAACCACTGAGCTAAATCCCCAGCCCTGGTCACTCATACCTTTACCTCTCAACTAACCTGATCTGGCCACAAGGTAAACAAAATTTAATTAACCTCTCAGTCTCTTCTGCCAGGTGTGGTGGCACACACTTGTAATCCTAACATTTGGGAGGCTGAGGCAGGAGGATTACTGTGAGTTTGAGGCCAACCTGGGCTACACAGTGAGTTCAAGGTCAGCCTGGACTACATAGTGAAACCCTGTCTCACAAAACAACAACAAAAAAACTCAGTCTCTACAAACAAGCTCACTGAGTGCCACCAAAAAGGGGGCAGAAATGAGCTGGGCATGGTGATGCATGCCTGTAACCCCAGCACTTTGGGAGGCTAAGGCAGGAGGATTACAGTTTGAATCCTGCCTGAACAACTTAGCCAGATCTTGTCTCAAAATAAAAGAGGTTGAGGATGTAGCTCAGTGCGAAGGCTGTGGGGTCCGGCTGCTCCCCCACCCGCCCCAGACCTTTGAACAGCGTGGAGCCCCCTGAGAGCACGATGTTGGCGAAGAGCGTGCGTCGAAGGTCCATGTCGGACTTGTGGATAGCAAAGGCCAGCACCTCATGGAGCCCCTCACTCTCGTCCCCGACCAGGTCTGGCTGGAACAGCAGCTCAGGGGCCCGGAAGCGTGCAGGCCCCACCTGTGGAGCACAGGATTGAGGCAGACAGCCCCCCGGGAGCCAGGCCTTGCCTCACTGCCACCCCATTGTCCAGGCTGCTGCTTACGTCTAGCGTGCTGCCATCGGGCAGGGTGTACTGCACCTTCTCTGTCTCTAGGGCCTCATCCTTCTGTGGGTTGATGGACAGGTAGCAGGCTCGCTGCAGGGGTGACACATCTGAGAAGGCTGTGTCTAAGTCCTCCCTTCCCTGCTAGCCATGCCCACAACCCTAGGTCCCCCATCACCTCCTTGATGGTCCGCACAACCTCGAACTCGGCCGATGTGTGGAAATCAGCCCCTTCCTTGCGCAGCAGCAGCTGGAGGTAGCGGGAGACGTCTCGGCCGGCAATGTCCACCCGCATGATGGAGTGTGGCATGGCGAAGCCCTCGTAGATAGGGACAGCATGAGTGACCCCGTCCCCTGAGTCTAACACCACTCCTGTCGTACGTCCTGTTGCATACCTGCCACCAGGTCAGCATCCCCTCACCTCAGCCGCTGAGGCACAGGGACCCTCTCACCCTGGAAGGGACTTGGGAAATTGGGGTTATCTGGTGGGGGTCCCTGAAGGAGCAGTCATCACAGGATCAGGGGTCCCATCACTGCAGGCTGGGCAGCCTCAGCGAGGCAAGGCTTGGACACTCACAGGCTGAGCACGGCCTGCATGGAGATGAACAGGGCCGGCACGTTGAAGGTCTCAAAGAATACCTCCGCCGCCTTCTCCCGGTTCTTGCTGGGGTTGAGTGGGGCCTCCGTTAGGAGAACTGGGTGCTGTAAGACACGAGAGAGGTCCGGCCTGAGCAACGTGCTCACCCAAAAGGCTCTTTGCCAAGCGCAAGCCCAGCTCCCAGCCGGCAGGTCCTTTTTCAAAGGGGGGCACTCCCTGGCAACCACTGGCTGTATGGGTGCCATGGACACAAGGATGTGGCAGGCCAAGGAGGATGCAGACAGGGAAAGGGACCAGGGAAGAACTAGCAGCTGGCGAGGGCTGGGGCCACACCTCCTCTGAGAAGGTCTGCAGCTGGTCCTTGGAGTACACGTACTGCCAGATGCGCTCCATGTCATTCCAGTCCCGCACCACGCCATGCTCCATCGGATAGCGGATGGCCAGCAGCCCCCGGTGCTCCTGGAGGGGCAGATGTGGTGCAGGCCCTTTGCCAGGCGGGTGTCGCTGGTCTTCTGGGAAGCTGGCCCTCTGCCCTGAACCAATGCTACCCACATGTACCTCCTAGCTCTGGGGTGGGTCCTGAACTAAGAATGGCTCGTCTGTCCCACCACACTCTGGGCTCTCAGAGCTCAGCTAGCTTCAACTGGCTAAGGCCAGAAAAAGTAGCAGAGTACTCCAAGCCACAGTCCCTCCTGTGGCCTCTCCTGGGACTTCTTTACTCTTCTCCTCAAGATGCTGCAGCTTCCTCCAGGACCTTCAGTGACGGCACCTGTCAGCACAGCCCTCCTGTGGTCACCTTCCGCTCCTCCAGGGTGCAGCTCTGGCCCGTCCTTACCTGTCTCCAGCATGGACTCGCTGCCTCTACTTACTCTCTGACACTGCCCCCAGCCACAGGTGTGCCCCTCTCACCCTCTTAACATCTTGCCCATGGCTCCCACTAACCTTGTTCTTAGGGCCCCAACCTGTCCCCTCAGCTCAGGCCACCCCTTCCTGGGCCCACAACTGGGCCGACATCCCCCAGGTGTCCACGCAGCATTTTCCGGGCTGGGCTCGCTCCTCTCCATCCCATGCTGGCTCCTCCTGACAGGAGACTGGCCTGTGCTGTTTCTAGTGGGTCACCCTGGCTGGAGTGCAAGAGGAAGCCATCATGGCGCCTATCAGAGCAGCCATCAAGTTTGGGTGACTCTAACTCTTAAACCACCCTTTAATCAGTGCTTTCCTCTGTAGTTTCCAAATAGCCTCTAAAAGGCAGGGCACACAGAGGTCTAAGCACGCTCCCCAGAATGAGAGTGTTGCTCTGCCTCTCACAGCAGGGAGGGCATGTGGAGGCCCCACGGCGTGTGGGAGGAGTCCAGGAAGGTCCCTTGCTGTCAGTTAGTGGCCCTGTGCCTGTTACCTCTGCCTTGGGTCCGATGAAGAGGTCCCCCTCCAGGGCTCCGGCCATCACCCGCATGTGTTTAGGCCGCCCGACACTGTGGAGACACACAGTCAGTGAGGTGGGCAGGGGCACGGCTAGGGTCCCATCTAGGAAAACTAAAGTCTACCTCTGAAGCTCAGAAGGACCTGTCCTCAAAGCAGTGGGATATGGTCACGGGCAAAGCTTGGAACTGGGGGTGGGTGGCTATGGGCTGCAGGAGCAGGACAGGGTCAGAAGGAATGCCCCTCCCAGAATGGGCTGAGCATCTGAGCTCTGGGATGCCAGCCCTTCATGGCCAGGCTTGGAAGAAAGGGTCAGCCTTCAGCAGCCACAATGACTAAGCCCTCACTCTTACGTTCAGGGCAAGCCTGTTGTCAGTGGCTGGAGACCGAAGGAGGATGTCTCCTGCAGTGGATGCTGCCCCTTGCTGCCACCAGGACATCCAGTGCAGAGTCTCTGGAGACTAAGATCTGATGAGCTACCATTCCAAACTGTGCCCCAAGTTCCCTATGCACCAGCAGGAGCCAGAGTTCTGCAAGGAAGCCTGAGGCCCTCCAGGGTACCCCATGCTGGCTTTATCCCAGACCAGGCCTGGGTTCCTCACAGAGTCAGCTGCTCTGGGAACCTTTGGTCCTGCTCTGCCCCAGCCTTTAGGCTGCCAATCTCAAGCGTCCAAGACTTGAGAAAAGATGCTGATGAGGGAAACTGCCCATGAGCTAGAGGGACCCAAGAACACTCCAGGCTCTCGTGGGGTGGCAGCCCCCTCAAATCCCTGCTGCACCCAGCATTATACAGGAAGACGGCCCATAGTATTTTCCGGAATCTGATCATGAACAAGCCCTGATGAAAACATTTCCGGGGCTGGGGATGCAGCTCAGGGGAAGAGTGTGCGCTTCGCATTCTCAATCCCCAGCATCAAAAGAGTCACAAAAACATGTCCAAGAAGGACAGGCTGCTGTGCATCTACCCCGTTCTTCCTGCTCTGTGTAGAGCCTGGTGAGCTCCTTTTTATTCCCACAATTGCTTTGTGCCCCATCCCTAGGGCAAAGCTGGCTTGCCTCCCCCTCACTGCTCAGGGAGAGACAAAACCAGGAGCCTCTGAGGAAGAAGGGGAAACCAAGAGCACTTCTTTTGTTCTTGCCAAGTTCTCTCCACAGTGTCAAACTCACAAATCCAGGGTTTTTCCTTATCGGTAGGGACCCAAGAGTTGTGTTCAAATAACAGAGCTGTGACCCAGGACTGCCGGTTTTCAGGAAGCAAATAAAGGAGGTAGGACAGCTGCCCCAGCCAGCCAGCTAGCCAGCCAGCCAGCAATACTTACTAGTTTGGGAAACAGTATTTGGGAATCTGGTCTCCTGCAAAGCCAGCCTTGATCACCCCTGAGCCCTGCAAGGAAAAGCAATGTTTAGCTTCCGACATTCACCTCCGGGTGAAGACAGAGCTTGGCTGCAGAGAGCTGGCTGCCCCACCAAGGCCCAGGGACATTGCCACTTACAAGTCTCACAGTGGTTCAAAGCCAGAGGCGACTTTGCATCCCCTGCCCTGGGAACATTTGGCAGTGTCTGGTGACTGAACAGGGGAAACAGGAGATGGTGCTAATAGCATCTATCGAGTAGGGGCCAGGGATACTGCTAAACATCCCAGAGGGCATAGACCTCCCCCACAGCCAACAATTACCCAGCCCAGAAGGTCAACAACACAGAGACTGAGATCCCACTTAGTACATCCTTCCCTGCAAACTCTAGGACTGGTTCCTGGTAGGATTCCATAGCACAAGTGACTCCCAAGAGACAGCCAGAAGCAACCCCTCTGGAGTTTTCGAGAGCATACCCACCCCTGGCTTCCCTGGCTGAAAGGGGCCACATACAGGACTGGCCAGGTAAGACTGGCACCTTTCCTCATGGCTTCCTTAGAGATTGCAAGAATTTGTAGTTGCTGATCAGCCTGTGTGATTTATTCGGAGGGAAGCCGCCTGGTCCTTGCTGCAGCCTGCTGGGGAGTTGGACTCATAGGACATCCCTATTCTAGCTCTAGCCTCCTGGCTAAGCATCCCCTGCTATGACTCAGGCAGTCTGCATGGGTCCTCCAAAAAAGATGGCCATTCACGTGGGAGCCACACAGATCCCAAAAAGAGCAGACTGAGTCATTATCAAAGACTCCCAGGCCTGCACACCAAGGGGCATCAGCCAGGGCACATGCATAGTCAGATGGCAGCCTTTAACTTTTCCGAAAGTCAGGGCTCACAGACCAGAAATCCTAAAGTAGCTGCAAGCAAGCCGAGTCCTGGCGCTGAAGGACAAAGCCATGGAAAGCTGGACGTCTTTCCTAAGGCTTCCAAACAGTTACCCCAAACTGCTTCTCCATCCTGGAAGTGTGGCCCTGAACGCTCCACTGCCTTGGTATCTGTGGGATTTCTGTTTCACATAGGAGCACTTAAGGAGAGGGTTAAAGAAGCCAAGAGGCCAAGCAGGTGGCAGTGCGCATGCAGCTGGTGGAGAGTAGCTTGCATTTTTCTGTGGCCCCCTGGGAAGCGTAGGGATCACCAGGGCAACCTCTCCAAAACATCAAGCCAGCAGGGCCCACTTTCACCCGGAACCAGAGCCAGAGCCAAGGTGAGCAAAGGGGTTGGAGTGGCACCTGCCCTGGGTCTGCACTCTCAACCGAGAGGGTCCGCGGCAGGCGCTCCGAGACCTCGACGGGACCTGGTGGCCTTTACGACCCGGCCTTGGAGCCGAGGTCCGGCGCAGGCGGGGAACGCGCAGCGAGCAGGAACGAGCCGGGCGGGGTCCCCCCTCCCCCCCGGTTGCCCAGCCTCACGTTGTCAATGACCACCGGCTGGTTGGCGATGATGTCGTAGGACTCCATGGCCGGGCCTCGCCGGCCCTGCCCAGCAGGCCGGCTGCAGGAGGGACCCGCGGCGGGCGGACGGGACTGCTGGGACTGGACGCGGCGCCGCGCCCCTCGCCCGAACGCACAGCCTACGCGAGCGGCCTGATTGACGGCGGGCGCTGGGGCTGGCTGAGGGGGGGGGGGTGCAGGCCAGCCAATAAGAAGCTCCCTTAAAGAGCGATGGGGCGTCGCCAAGGTAGGCTGCGCGGCGTCGGGGATGATGTCATAGCCCGTTCTTAAAGGGAACGCTGGCAGAAGAGAGTGGAATGGGCAGTTTGTGAGCTCCTGAAATAATGTGTTTGCCACGCCCCAGCATCGCCGACCAAGCTCCTTTGAGAGCTGCTTGTGCTGGAGGAGGCAGGCCCTGGATATTTCCCCCAAAGGATTTCTTAGTTTTGCCTATTTTTGAACTTTATGCAAGTGAAACCGTAAGTATGCATTCATTTGCATCTGGCATTTATACATTCGTGATGTGGATCAGTGTACAGCAATAGGTCATGAGAGAGTTCTGCATGATTAGAAACTAGAGACACAGCGGGGCGTATTGTTAAGTCAAAGCAAAGAAAGAGCCAAAGAGTAGAATGACACATGCACGATTGTCTCAGAAGAGTATTTGAGACATCTTTAGATCTCTTTAATTTGGGGAAAGAACCAAAGGTAAATATGGGTGAATGAAAGATTAAGTTTTTACCATGCAAACTTTTGTATTGAATTGTTTTAAACTTGGGCATGCATATGTATCAGTTAGCTTTCTGTCACTATACTGAAATGCCCTAGGCAATTAACTTCGAGGAAAGGTTTTTGTTCATGGTTCTGGAGGTTCCAGTCTGAGATCAGGTGACTTCATGGCTTTGGACCTCTGACAAGGGCAGCACATGATAAGCCAGGAAGCAAAGACATAGGGATCCCTCAACCCCCTGCAAGGATGCAGCCCTTGACCTAATGACCTAGGACCTCCCTCTGCTGTCTCGTGAGCACCCCCTCTTTTACAGCCCTGGGGGTCCTTTGCTATTCTCAATTTCAGGAAGCTTTGCTTGCATCCACTTTACACAGCCAAAATGGACCAGGGCAGCAGCTGTGGAGCGGCCCACAGGGTGGAAGAACTTCCTTCCCACAGACAGACCCTGAAGAAAGGCAGAGATGATGTGTGGTATCTGATGCAGCTGCCTCTTCTGACCCTAATCTTAGATACCCAGTTGCAGTGACCAACAATTTAAGAAAAAGTAGGGAGCAACCAGACATATGAAATAAATCCTGCCCACCAAATTAACTGTGAAGATGAGATGCGCTGGAGTGCTTCTCTTTGATCCTGTTTGGATTCTCTCTTAAAACCTTTCTTGAAGTCATTCACTCAGGGGCTTAGGGTTAAGGATTGGGGTGAATTGAAGTTAGAAGCTCAGGCTTCATTTGCCACCTTTGAATCAGAATCCTATCATTCTACTTAATCTTTATAGTTCTCACAGATGAAAAAATAGGATCTCCTGGTTATACATTACATTTCCTTCATTAAAATATAATGACATAAGGGGGTCACGGATTTACCTCAGTGGTTCCGCCACCTGCCTTGAAAGTGCAAAGACCCGAGTTCAATCCCTGGTACCAAAAACAACACAAAACAAAACAAAAATATAATGACATATGATAAACTACATGTATAAAAACAGTACAATTTTGCCCATCAACTGGAAACTGGATAAAGAAGATGTGGGTTTTTTTAATAAAATGGAGTACTACTCAGCCATAAAGAACTAGAAACTAGAGACATTTATAGCTAAATGGATGCATATTAAGGCCATCCTCTTAAGTGAAATAAATAGGACACATGTGTAAATACCGAATAGTTTCTCTAGTGTGAGAAACTGAAAGTGTAATTAAGGATACACACAGATGAAATGGCCTAATAACATATTTCTCGGATTGTGTTTCCATTGTGTGTCATATTACTGTATCAAAATTTAAATTAGGGAGAAGTTTGGCTTATGTGGAGTCTGCTAACTAAGTGGAGGTTTTTTCCAGATCATTATTTGTTCAATGTTGGTTTTGGGGACCTTTCTGAAACAAATTACATCCTCTGGCGTCTTGTTGGTGCTTGAGATGCTTTTTTAAGTTATATGGAAAAATGTTTAAGTGCTTTTCAGTTTTGTTTTAGTTGAGTTCTACTGTATTTGAATATTATTGTAGTTTTTTCCCCCTTGCATTGTTCTTCTTTTAAAAAAAACAGTACAATTTGATGAGGTTTTTTTTTTTTTGAGATGAGGTCTCAGTATATTATTCAGATTGGTCTCAAACTCACTATCTTTCTGCCTCAGCCTCTTGAATAGCTGGGATTACCAGAGTATGCCACCATACCTGGCTAATTTTTACTTTTAGTTTAGTTTAGTTTTTGGTACTGAGGGTTGAACCTTTACATTGAGTTATATCCCCAGGCTTTTTAATTTTTATTTTGAGACAGGGTCTCACTAAGCTGCTATACTGCCCAAATTAGGCTTGAATTTGTGATCTCCTGCCTCAGCCTCCCAGAGTGCTGGGATTACAGGTGTGCACTACTATGCTGGCATGCCTGGATAATTTAGTTCTGATGCATGAATACACCCAGGAAACCATTTTCCTAATCGAGATAAAGAAGATATCCAAAAGTTTCACCATGTGTCCTTGTAATCCCCCTTCATGCTCTTCATTTCCAGGCAAGCATTTGTCAGCTTCCTCTACTGTAGTTTAGTTGTCACTTTCTAGACTTGTTGAAGTCATCGGTTGTTTGTTTGTTTGTTTGGGTTTTTTGTTTGTTTGTTTGTTTTGGTACTAGGGATTGAACTCAGGACCTTGTGCTTACAAGGCAGGTGGAGGAACCACTGAGCTAACCCCAGCCCTATGTATGTTAAGGGGCTTCTACAGTGTGTGCTCCTTTTGTTGTTTGGCATCTATCATTCAGTATGGTTATGAGAGTTGCTTCATGTTGTTGGACAACATGTGTATTGGTTAAGATTCTCTAGAGGAATAGAATCCATTAAAAATGTATATATAAAATCATACAGGGAGGTTTCTGAGTGTGGCTCACAGGATCAGAGGTCGGCTGGCCCCACAATGGCCATCTGTGCACTGGAGAGCCAGAGAACCCAGTAGCTGCTCAGTCTAAGAAACTGGAAGCTGCAGAACAAGAGGAACCACGGATGCAGCCCCAGTCCACCATGGCTGTATGCTTGGAGAAGAGACTCCCCAGATAGTCGCTGATGTGTCTGCATCGAGGGTCTAAGGAAGCTGGAATCTGAGGTCCATGGCAGTGACACAGCCGAAACCAGACCTGTTCAAGGAGAATCGAGCTTGCACCCCTGGCTGGCTTTCTCTTTCTTCCATTCTTATTCCAGCTGTGCTCCCACCCTTTTGGAAGTGCCCTCCATTCAGAGTGGGTCCCTCTCAGTGTGATAGCCTAATGTCAGTCATCTCTGACAATAGCACCCCACCACCAGATAAATATAATCGGCTAGTGTCTTTGAATCCAGTCAAGTTGATAAATTGTCTGGGCCTCTTCTCCAGTGAGCTTTGTTAGTTTGTGTCAGACATGGATTTTTTTCTGTTTTATCTAACTTGTTGGATTTATTGGCAAAAACATGCCATAAAGTATCCTGAT